TGAGACGTCAGGGATGAATGTTTTTGTTTCCCATCATTGGTGACCGTGTGTCCTCACACCTCATTCTCACTTCCTCAGAGAATTAAACACTACCCTGGACTCACTTCCTGTGTTGTGCGGTGCATACAAATGCAGCCTCAGTTTCATGTTTCTGCTGAGCTGGCCAGCTCTGGGAGACCGTGCTTCTCTGCGCTGGTTTGTCGCTACAGGTACACTGGCACAAATCCAACCCAGGAATTTTCTGCCATCCGAGCACTACAGCACAGAAGTACGACAATGTTTATCACTTGCTCCGGGAAACTGCAAATTGGACTTTCTATATTCATAAATACCACAGAGCCCTTGGGTATATTCAATGCATTTTAAACACAGCTGTAACAAATTCACATGTGGCACTTTTATCTCAGTTCATTTGAAAGTGCAGGTTTTTTTAAATAATTGCATCAAATTGTTTTATGTGCCACTTTTTTATAGGCAGAAACAGAATATAAAGCAGTTTTACTGACGCTGTAACGAGTGTTCAGCCTCAACTGAAATATGAAATCTCTGTTTTATCACCTCAGAACAAGACCTGGGCTTTTTAATTGTACACCAGGAGCACGTCCACTCTGCAGAAGACACACTTAAATCATCTGAGCTGTGAAAAACCAACAGCCCCATCTGCACATCTAACACCTTACCAGATCCTTTATTACAACATGTATACCCCATAACACCACTGTAATAGTTGTAAGATTCAGTTACCTTATGTTTAAAGATGGTTTTTCGACAGTTACATTTTTACAAAATAATTTCAATTTTAAATTCAGTGTTATGAACCAAATTTAACAGTTGAACTTTTTTATCAATAATAAACATCTCTTTTTCAACAGGGATATATTTTACCTTCAAACATGGAGGTTCAAGATGAGAAACTTCTGACTGTATCAGTGAGCGTGAAATTCGTTTCCACCTGAATCCAATCACCCACTGTAGTAAATGTTTTCTTCTGTTAAAATAAAGACTTTAATGCAGCCTTGAGTCCTTTACACGGTACCGTAAGTTTCTCAAGTCGCTGCTTGTGTTTTCTGTATAATGTCCAATGTACTGGATTTGGAGTTTTGAGAAAGTGCGCCATCATGTGGACATTTTTCACACTCCTATCACATGCTATATATACAGTATATGGTCTGGCACAAGATTAAAATGTCTAATATGATTAATCACAGGGTAGCTGTTAGTTTTCGATGATTTATCGAGATACACCAACTTCTAATAACACAAATACAGTCACGTGTATTTATGGTACCAAAAAACAAGGTAAAAATTAAAATTAACATGATAAACACCGTTTTGACCTAAAGATGTATGTATACTGTTATATAAACACAAACATACAAACATAAAACATAAGTACATCATCAAACAAAAATACAACCATGTCATTCTTTGTTTATTTTCAACACTCCTTTGAAAAAGAAAAACTACATTAGTGCAAATCTGACAGAAACCATTCAACAGATTGATAAGGTGATTTTTAAATTAACAATAAATATACATCACTCATTTTACACTTCTGAAATGTTTCAAGCACTTTTCACAGTTATATCACAGTCTGGCATATAGCGCCCTCTACGTCCAACACAGTTGTACCAGCTCACCAGTGATCAGTCCAAAAGGCATGAAGAGCAAATAAATTTACCTTTATACGTTCAAGTTTATCCAAATCGAGACATCTCGGTTCAGTCATAACAAAATTACTACCCTGTATAGCAACACATATATCGTCAGGACAGCAGCTACATCAAACCCCTACAGAGATACAATCCATTATTCCTCCTTTGTGAGTATCGATCTCCTGCCACAAACGGTTCAGTAAGGTTTTGGGGGGAGGGAGATCCCATAATAGATCTTAAATAATTGTCAATTCATACATTTCAAGATTCAGTATACATTGTTGACAAACTGCGGACAGCTCAGATTATGTATACAATATGTAAATCAGGAAGTGCATGAGTGCATTGTATGTCAATCATGTTGACAGACCCTACTACACCAGTGATGGAAAACCATGTTTTGACAGAGACATGATGAATGAGAAAAAACAAAACAGAAAGCAAACTTAACAGTGGTGTTTGCTGTGTCAGTGCTTTATAGAATGTAACTCTTCTATAATGTACAACCATAGACTGTTTGTGTAGATGCTATTATTCCTATTGTCTGAGATTTTTCTAGTTATTTCCCAAGAGTTAATTTCAAGTGCTTGAAAGTAATCGTAATGTTGAACTGCTCCCATAGACATATAAGAGGAGATGTATTTAAATGAAATATAACTTTCTTCTTGAGTGAATACAACCTACTGTGGATACTTACTCTTATGCCACATATTACTTCTTATACAATCATATTTTAATGGCACATTAATAAATTCAATCTTTTAAATTCCTTCCACTGGAAAAAAAAATTCTAAGCAGATATTAGATCACCATAACAAACACACTGACCTCTGTTGGAACATTTTGGATCATTTACATCTTATGACTTTGGCTTGCAGCCATGTTACTGTACACAGCTGTGTCTCTAGCTGTTTTGAAATATTTATTCTTCCTAGCCACAGAAGAACTAACCCAAGTTCCTCAGCTACATTGACAATCCAACACCAGATTCACTGTTTTAGGGCCAAGGACCGTAATTTTACATGACTGATTCTAAATCCATGAAGCTGTCGTACGAGCTAACAGCATGCAGTAGGAGTTTAAAACAAAAGGCCACAGCAGATAACAGATGAATGGAAAAAGTGCAAATGCATGCTGACAACGATTGCCAACTACTGTCCTCTGTATGACACTCACGTGAGACAGGTAGCAGTCAGATTAAGCTTAAAGTGCAGATCCAACCTGTTGACACAAAGTTTACCAAACCAAAGAAAAAAAACAAAAAACACCAAGCTCTTAAAAAAACCAACTTGCAATGCTTAAGTACCCTATCAAAGCAGTTGATCTGGACATGTGTATTGTTTGTTGTCAATGCAGTTAGCTATTGTTTGTCTATTCATTGTATAGCAAAAGAATAATGTCATTGTTTACAGTGTGATGTGACGTCTTCTTTTGGATGACAGTTTGGAGTTTGCCTGCAGAAAAGGATCCTGAAAATCAAGAAATGTACACATTAATCAACAATTTTAACATGACTTCATGTTTTTATGAATAAAAATAAAGGGCATGTTCCAATGAGAGCACATTGGAATAGAGATACTGAGATACTGCTCTTCTATGGCTACTTCCGAAATACAAGACAGGATCAGTATCAGCTGCATTAACAGTCTGCTAATGAAGTAGAACTGATCGAATATCTTTGTCATTGGTGTAATAGTTTTTACTACCTGCTGACAGCTGTTCAAGTTGCAGCACTCTGCTCCGAGTTTCTGGGTTCATCTCCAGTTTTGTCTTCTCGACTCGCGGTGGTAAGTGACTCTTCCTGCTGTAGTACAGTCTGCTGTGGCTTTACTATGGTAATTTTGATTGGAACTCCTTTGACATTGTGGTGCACTCTGGTGTACTGACGCATAGAGGGGTTGAAGGTGCGAACGATAGGAAGATCGTTCAGAGTTGTTGACTCTTCCTTTGGCTGACTGCTCTCCTTTATGACTATTTTACTTCTTTTGTCAGAGAAGACTGTCTGAACAGGTATAACGGCATGCCTCTTACCTAGGCTTGAAGTTTGGAATCTGGTTTTGTGCTGAGGTGACCCCTGCTGTCGTTTGTCCTCAGGTTGAGTCATGCCTCTGTGAAGGCGTCCATCATTTTCCTTCGTCACAGAGATTCCACTGTCTTTCCTTTTCTTGGCCTCTTTAGGTTTTTTGGGACAAACGGCCATGTGTTTGGTTCTACTACGACGCATTGTGAACTCCCTTCTACAGTGAGGACAGACAAACATCTCTGACTGTTCCTCCATCTCTGCTGATGAAGAACTGACTGACTTGTTCCTCTGTGGCATAACCCTTTGAACCAATCTTTTCTTTCTTTTTTTCAGTACTTTAAACTTCATTTTCACTGACGTGCTCTGATTTGGTTTGGTCAAGTGTGATTGGCTTGCTCTATTTGAAGCATTAAGTCCATTAGCAGAATTTGTAGTCAACAGCACTCCGTTCTGTGCTTTTGCAAAGTGCTTTAGCGGTATGGGATTCTTCTTGGGTGTGTAACGTTTTTTATCACTGGCATTCGCACATGCCAGAATATGCTTGTGTAGTTCTGGCATATTATCAAAGCTCTTTCCACACTTTGTGCATCTGATTGCCGTACTAAAAGTTTGTGGGATGTTGTGAGTGGTAAAGTTAGTGGCTGAAGCCAGTGATCCTGATTGTGATTTGTTATGGTAGGGAAATGGAGGTGGTTTGAAGCTGGGATAGTGCTGGTTAATGCCAAGACGAATGTCAGGTCCTTTGATATTGCCTGTATCTGAAGCCATTAATTTTATTGTGGTGAAAAGCTCTTCACCAGCTACGTCCACTTCACTTTCCTCCTTTTTTACCTCCTTCTTGTCCTCCTCTGGAACAGTCGGCACTGCAGTCTCTGCAGGAACTTTTGTTGCATTGTTGTAGTTCTGCGGTCTGAGTTTACCCTTTTCTTCTTCTGTGTATGAACACTGCTGACCAGGATGCAATTCCTCCTGATGGTGTTTCAGATTGCAGAGGTAGAGAAATTCTTTTGTACACACGCTGCAAATGTACATCTTGCCAACCCCATGCAGGACTGAACGATGCTCGAGCAGAGTGGAGGGCTTGTCAAAGATCAGCACACAGAACTCACATTTGTAGGGCCATTCAACAGCATGGTCACCGACGTGATGGCCGAGTTCTTTCATCGAATGGAAAACTTTATCGCACACGTTGCAGATGAAGTTCTTTGTGAAAGTCTGCTGTTCTTCCTCACTTGGTGCATTGTTTGCGTCCTCTTCAGTCTTCTCACAGACAGCTGTGGTTTCGTTTGGTATTTCGGGCAAGGAAACAACTTCAGCCAGAGCTTCCTGTTCTTTTACACTGGTTGGCTCTGTTCTTTCAACTGGTTCTGGGTCAGGACTTGATTCTGCCACTGGTGGACAATTGGATACTGCTGACGTGGTGGTGGTGGACAAAGTCATGGATTCTGCGATTGAGGACACAAGAATAGTGGGGTCTGCAGTTTGAGCATCAGGTACAGATACAATCTGTTGCTGTTCAATATGATTAACAACCACCTGTGCAGGTAATGGAGATTCATTAGTGGGTTCCTCTAGGGCAGGTGTAGCGGGCACAACAGCACCTGGGGTTTCAAGAGCTATTGTACATTCTATCAACACTGTGTTGCTAGTAATGTTATAGGATTTGATGAGAGGTTCACCCAAGCTAACAGGTGTAAATGGTACTTCTGACACAGGACCAGAGTCAACTAGAGGTGGATTGAGAGCCATTGGATCTGTAAGAAATACATGGCCGGGTAAATTTAAAGCAGGGTCCAGGGAGTGGGAGAGTGTGACGAGGTTGGATGCATTTGTAGCTGCAAATGCATTTGCTAAATCACACTCTGACGAATTCAGTGCATTGTCTGTGCAAATGACCAAAGGTTCAGGTGGTATATTGGGGGCCAGCATCTGGATCGGTTGGCCTGTAGCATCAGTTATAGGTGGTGGCGATGCCAAAACTGTAATTAATGAAGGAGCAGGGGGGAGGATGGTGTGTGGAGCTGAGGACGTGAATGCTATTGTGCATGGGGAGGCTGACTGCAGGGTAACAGGAGTCAGTGAAGCAGCCGAAGAGTTTAAAGAATCAGGAGGAAGTGTGAGTCCATAAACTAGACCATCTGAAACTGGTTCAACTGGGGTGATCATGTCTGGTCCTGTGATGACAGTGAAATCTGTGTGGTTGGATGTTCTGAGATTTGGTTCGTCAATATTCTGCAAAGGTCTGTCTGGCACACAAGTATTTGATGCATCTTCCTTCATAGTTCCTGTCTGTGGAACTATATTTGTTGTCAGCTCAGATTTGTCATTGCTCTTTTTTTGCAAACTCAAATCCAGCACATCGTCAGCTGAAGCCAGGTGATCGTTTCTCCTGGGTGTATTAGAAAGATCCAGTGGTTGCTGGTTACAGGAATCACCACCAGTCAACGGTGGCCAAATCTCAGTTGAGACTGGTTTTAATATTGGCTCCCCTACAGGTGATGTTGTCTCTTCCTTTTTACTTACTATGGGATGCACAAGTGAACTATGAGGAGTATCTTCATGACCTGGACTTACAGCAGCAACATGTCCTGTATCTGACGTTGGCATTTCATCTGATTGTGGGTTCTGCTGTGGAGAACCTGTGGGGGAGCCAGTCCTTCTTTTGAACTTTCCTGAACCAGGTAGGACAGCAAGAGACATGGGTGAACAGGACGCCTGACCATCCGTGACCAGAGCAAGTGTGGGTTTAAGGCCATCCTGCTTCTCCAGAAGCTGCTTCAGTTTAGGAGACAGAAACACCGTTCTCTCCTGCACAACAGTGGACTCTGTGTTAAGAGGAAGAAGACTCTCAATAAAAGCTGATACAAACGTCGATGAGGAAGACACCACCACCTCAGACTCCAGTTCAGTTTTAATTTGGGGTAAAAGTGGTGGTGTTGCAGTTCTTCTCTTAGTCAATGCTTGACCTTGCATGTCACTACCTGGAACCGAATCTGTATTCAAAACATGGCCAATTTGATTTGGGTCCAGAATCAATGCATCAAGTCCAACAACAGCAGAAGAACCTGCATGATCTTCGGCTGCATTATAGCTGTTCACTGTACTCGTAGACACTATTTTTCCGTCAACGTAGAAGCTGAGGTTCTCGGATATATTGCTCGAGACATCTAGCATTACCCCATCTTCCAAATGACCTGCAGCTGCTATGCTGTTACAAAACTGTAGGTCCTGTATACCTGCTTCCTCAAAACCCTTCTGAAGACTTTCCTCTTCAGTGATCTGGGTTGTTGCATGGATGTGCATGTGTTGTCCCAAAGCCTGCTTGTTGGCAAAGTGTTCCTCACAGTGTTGGCAGGGAGTAGAGTCAAAATCAGGGTATTTAGCTGTGTCCCATTCTGTGATAGGCTCTTTCTTACAAATATCCTCCTCCTTGTCCAAATCATCATTGTTGGCAAATTGAGAGCAGTAAGTATGAAGGTTGTTGTCCATCTTTTTTTTCCAGACGATATCCAATTCTTTGAAGAAAATTGTCACAATGGTCCACAATGGTATCACATCTGTTGGACGGTGAAAAAGAAAACTTTACAATTTATGGTTGTTTTTTTTTTTTAATAATCAACTTGATACAACTTTTTTTCAGGCAAACTTGTATTTTGTAGCGAGTTCCCAAAATTAACACATTAATCTTGATACAATTTTGTAAAAAAATATTCAGATGGAAGTAGGATAAAAACACTCGAGTAGTAAAAGCTGAGGAGAATAGAATTACAGCAACAATTAAAAATAATAAATGTTATACCTCAAATTACTAAAAGCCTAAAGCTAAAAGTTTTAATTTAGGAACCAAAAATAAGTGGCCTTTAAAAACATCAACAGTCTGTACAGCCCTGAGGCTCTCCAGCAGGTTCAATGAGGATAAGAAAAAAAAAAATTGTACTTTACCATTTTAATAGGGTGCAGTTACGAGATGATCACAACTTTTTTTCTCCTTTGTTTCAGTCCTAAGAACAAATCAAAAAGCAAGACACATTAATACTTTTTGAGAAACCATTTGTAATAAGTAATGATCAGAATGTTTTGGTTGTGATGTTGAAATCACTAAAAGCAAAGAACACAAAATGTAAATATCTGTAAACACTTCGTAGACCTCCATGTACATGTGCAGTTTGCTTATATCCATCCCCATTGAGGCTGTGTGGGGATTACAAGTTAGTTATTTAAAATTCTGAGTACAGATCAGATACACAGGTTTATATTTTACTACAGTGTTTACAGAAACTACACTGTTTGCATGTATGCTAACAAAAGGAAGCAAACCGGAAGTTGGTCAGCAATAAAAGTGTGTGGGGTGGGTGTAACTTTGTGGTTGACAGTTAGTTTGAGAGAAAAACAGCTGTGCAGCTTAAACCTTTATCTCTTTCTGGCCTTTCATTAATGCTTGCAAGGGGATGATGAAACAAAAATAATTTTAAAAAACAACTGTTTTTTGTACTGTACTGTACTAAGTATTTCAGAAAACATTACATTTTCAGTCAAATATCTTGTGTACTTTTTTATGTACAAAACAATTTCAACACCATTACAGTAGCAGTTTGGCTACCACTCACAAAGATATGGTTAAACAGGCAGTATTTTTAACCACAACTGGTGCAGACAGTTGACAAAGATGACAATGGGTAAGTCATCTTTTATCATAACCTCATTCCCACTGGTATTGTTGTTTTACACCACCTGCTGCACCAATTACACATCTTTCACACCTGGCAACAGCACCAGACAGGCACACATACTGTTTTTTGTGTTTTGCGAGTAGCTCCACAGAGACCATGCATTTCCTAGTTCCTTATTCAAACCAAAACTATTCAAAAATATCCCCAATCCTTACCCAAATTGTAATGTAAATGCAGCTGACCTCTTTTCTGGAAAATATTACTGTGGATTACTGCGGTACAGTCAACTCCACTGACACTGTAATTTTGACAAAATTGCTGTTCTTACAGGTGAAAAAAAAGAAAATAACAAAGCTTTGCAATTTTCTCACTGAGACACAAATAGAAAAAATATTTAAAATGATAGGCACCACCTTTACTGGGGAAAAAACGTGTTCTAATGTTTTATTTATTGTTATTTTAAAAGAACTAATGCTTTAATTTGACCCTAATTCTAACACCAATTTTAATTCAATCTTAAACTTGAAATAAAATTAAAATACTGTCTCTTGTAAGGAGTTTCATTCATTTATACTGCGTAACTTTAAAGCTAGACTTATGTACACGCAGTCAAACTATAAAAACAACAGCTCACATTTAATTCCTTGATTTAGTGTATCAGTTTTATGATACCCCAACACTTATCGGTACAAGATATTGCGTTGACAAAATGGCAGTTCAGTCATCCGTGGAAAGTCATGCTCTTGACTTATTTGTATTTTTTACATGTTGAGTAATTTAACTGTTTGGTGTGCGTAAATACACAAAGTATTTATTTTCTATATTTTCCAATAGTTACAACGAATTTATTTATTAAAAAGAAATAAGTGCATACAAGTGACTCAAGGACAAAAAGCTCTTAAATGTATTTTCTACGGCTTAAAAGGTGTTTTCTAGATGTAGTCGTTTCCGTCACCATATTAAAGACAAAACGGCCTGTATATAATCAAATACGTCATTTATCTGTACAGCAGCGTAGTCCTGGCAAAATTGATACACAATATGTAGTTAATTTAGTGTGAAAATGGAGTTACTTCAGTGTCAACGTTGTACTAAAATTGCTTTTTCATTTTTCGTCAGCACAAATATACACAGCTTCACCTGCTTTGATGACGCTCCCCCTTCGTCCTTGCACCATTGCTAACTGCTCACACAACACGTCGTCACATTTATGCTGGGCTTTTGAAGCTATAATCAGTAGCTGTCAAGTCGAAAGAATAATCAGCAGCCGTATAAATGATCGTTTCATCTGTTCTGCCCGAATGAGACACGTCCTTGTACACCAAATATCTGGCAAACTAAGAAGGATTTTTCTTACCAGCTGAAAGAAGTCAGCTGTTAACGAGTAGCTGTTAGCCACAACGCTAGCTGCAGTGCTGTCATCACATACAGGAAAAGGCTCATCTCTCTGCTCAACTGTTGTTAGAATGTGTTTCAGCAATCTAGAGACGATTATCCGACATGGCCCCTGACTGCTGAAATAATAATAAAAAAACAGCTACATGTCTTAAGTTCCGAAGCTATTCCTCTTTCTTCGTTTGCGAACTGAATGTAGCAGGTTCTGCGCAGCTGATTTAGCAATTACGGTAATCACAAAAGTTCTTGCCTTCATAGAGGGAAGCCCTTTGTTTATTAAGCAACAATGCTTTTATTACTTACAATTACTTGTAAATGTAAATGCTATTGTACCGAGTAAATGTTTTATGTTTAAGTTTAAATGAATACAGCAATTACCAAAGACTCTTGTTTACAGGTGTTTTGTGTACTGTTCTTACCAACTGCCAAAATAAATCACTATTATAATAAACCCAGATATATAAAACAAATACAGTAAACGATAAGTAGGTAGGCAAAAACTACAGTTACACCCTAACAGGTATGCACGTTAAGTTGTTCTTTTGAAGTTGCCTTTGATTAAGAAACAAAACATTTAAGGATAAAAAGTGATGAAAATGTTCCTTTAGTACCCTGGTTGTCCGTTAAACAAAATGTATTACCCAAAAATTATATCAAATCTAACCAAGTTACGCAAAATATTTGGTTTGTCTGTATGAACAACTTCTAAGACAAAGGATACGTATTTAAAAATAGGCTGAAATGCGGTTGTTTATGTGTGAACGTATTGTAATTTTCATAAAATCAATTTAGTGAGTCTGTTTAAAGTTAATTACTGTTAATTCCTAAGTTAAAAACGTGTATAACTGTCCAATAGAAATCTTCAGTTTCTCGTGCATAAATTTACCGTAAATATTCACTTACTTGCGCACTCGAAATGAAAAACGTGCTTGAAATTATTGTGTACTTTTTCTTTTGAAAATTATTTACTTTCTAAAGTTGTGTGCCTTTACAAGCTACTGCTGCTGCGTATGTTGTCATTAGATTTTATCCTCTGTTTTTGATTGTACATCAACAGTTATTTTCATTGGTCAGAGAGAATGGATATCAAATTTGGACCAATCAAAATAAGTTTGTTAAACCTCCAGGAAAGCAATGAATCACTACATAATATTCATTGTACGTGCTTACAGTTATATAATATTATCAAAAATAATACTGAAAGCACTTGTATACTAATTTCTCCGTGTGCTACTGAGGTTTTGTTGAAAGTAAATAGACCGTATTTAAAAAAGGTTCACATTTCAAATTTGCTATTGCAAACATGTGAATTTTAATATTTCACTTTTAGATCACGTTAGAGTATCAAAGGGTTTTGAACGAATTTTTATATTTCAATGTATGAACTTAATTGTTGAATTACATCCATTTGACCTGTAGAGGGAGCAATAGCACTATTAAATTGTAAACAAAATGAACCTCATTTCATGTTCAGTAGAGGTTTACTGTCATAAACATAGAAGACAGACATTTTATTTGTGCCTGTGTCTCACTTGTATTACTGAGTTCATGCATAGTCCGACTACACATAAAACATTGTTTTACTTGATTTGCCTGATAATATGTCCCTCACGCCTTACTTGTTCCACGTTGTCTCCAACAATAGTTCCATCTCTCATTGGCGTATCAAGCCCATATAAAGTTCTCACCTACACATGTAGAGAGTGACCCCTTATGTTTCACATGCCTACACCTCCACATGAATGCCCCATAAAGCCAGTCTTGGAAAGAATGTGTTGGTATTTAGCAGGCCTACATTCAGCATACAGACATGGGTGACATTTGTCATGGTACATACATGAATGTCTCTGGTTGGAACACACGTGGGCTGTCTTAATGATCAAACTGCATGCCAGGCCTCTGTAATGAAAGATCATGAATAACGGCCCCCTTTCATACACAGGCGTTTCTCTTCTCTCTGTGATTTTACTTCTTAAACACCGTGTGCTGACACACAGTAGCTCCAGTAACAAACTAAATGTAGCCAACTGGGTAGGCCAAGTATAGTGTGATCCTGTTTGTTTATAGTTCTTCATAGCGAGTCACACTCAGCCCAGGCCTCTAGTATATCTTTCACTGCTGATGGCGATTGCAGGTGTTGAATTATGATGAGGAGTTCACAAGTGGGTCTGCTGGTCAGACACTTAGGTCAGGCCCTTGCGTAAACTAGTGCTGACTGCCAGGAAGCAGCGTCATACATAAAGCTAAGTAAAGCCACTTTGTAGAGAGTCTAGTGATTTCTCACTTTCCAGTGTAATATATGTAAATATTAATTTGTGTTAATATAACAGTAGCACAGCGGTGCTGTAAATCACATGCTAACATGGGGTACCGTGATATTGTGTGTTTAAAGCTGCTGCCATATGTCAACTATATGCATCGTCTATCCATCCATTCTAAGAAGCTGTCAAAAGAGAAACACTATCTGCCCAGGATCATACTGGCTACATGCTCCACTGCCAGATTTGAGGTCAACATGTGACCCCTTACCTGGTTTGACCGTAAATAATCCCAGTGAATAAGATATGACGACCTGACTCCTGAAAAAATTGTTGATCAAGTTAAGAAAATCAACACTGCGTAATTGTAAACATAAAGTCAATTTATTTTAATGTAAGATTAAAGAGCTGCGTTGACAGTCATGGACCATATATAAGAAACGGCCGCTGCCATAATGATGCAAATTATACAAAGTGAAACCATAGCACCAGACCAAAAGCAAAGAATGGAAGAGAGCCCTCACTCAGCACTTCTCCAAGATTGCACCCACCTCTAGTCAACAGACTCCGGTACAGTGCACTGACGTTGGACTACTACATGTGCTGACCTCATGATACTATGCTTTTCTAAGCAGCTGATTTTTAAGAACGCATTGTGCAGAATCTATTGTTCTTACAGTTTTTAATCCATACTTGTTGTAAAGGCAGTCGGTCAGAGAATGTCTGGCCTGAAAAGGCATTTAGACTAAACAGGAAACCTTGATTGTGAAAGAAAACTAAAACACCAGATTAAATGTATGGCGCATATCCTGTGGCACTGGGCGTCGCTTCGTGCCAATGTCTCTGCACACAATGTTCCATTCAACGTGTCCGTGAACATAGAGGACAAGAAAGACAAAGAAGGTGGCCCACAATGTGTGTATACGTGTGCGCGTGTGTGTAAAGGAAGCATCAAGAAGCGGGACTTACAGTAAGGATTTCTTGTGTAAGATGTTTGTCACACGAGTACATACAAAGGCCAGTCTGTTACTGTAAAACAGGTCGTGTCACTGGGTTGGAATCAAAGTTTTATTTTCCCATGTCCGAGACGCCAGATGTGCTGGGAAGAACATGTAAATGTGACAACATCAGAACAGGCTGCACAAAGGGGAAACACATGACACGACACAGACACAACTGAAGCCCATTGTTATTGTGGAGTTATGTTGTGACAGCACACACACACACACACACACACACACACCACCCATGTTAATAATCCCCTGGAGGCCTGTATACATGCATGTGTCGTCCAGTTTTGCACACACACACACACACACACACACATGCCCACAGACATGGGTGTCATGGGTGAACCCTTGACCCCCATAAAGTAACATGCCATTTGCACAGATACTGTACACACACTTAACATGCCAAGCACACACATCGCCAGTCCTTCTCAAATTTCACTGCCCCCCCCCTCTGCTGCCACACTCAGCGATTTCACTGCATCATCACTGTATCTGACTCCCCCAAACTCTCTCTCTCTCTCTCTCACACACACACACCATCAGTGCCTGTCACCCAAACTTCTGCCTCTTCTTCTTCTTTCGTCCTTCAACCTCACCCAACTCAACATGATCCACCCATACACACAGCTGTCTGCGGCACTCAAACCCCACAGGACCACAGTCTGACATCGTGACATCCCAAACCCATGTACGCCTGACACGTGGTCCTGCCCCCCTCCAAACACCCGCTCCCCACACAGCTAACACATGACTACAGTGCCACTCACTGTACATGGCTGTCATGCATGTTAGCGCCATTAGAACGACAAGAGGAATTCCAACATGTTCACCCATGATAAGACAGTAGGACAATGAGACGGCGGCCTATTTTAGTCTCATGGACACCGTCCAGGTTTTACTGTGCTGTGCAGTTCCGACATGTTCTCTCTACGTTTGTAGAGGCCATGTTCCCTCCGCATGCTTTGGTTTCTTCACACAGATCCAGGACATGCAGCACTGATGATCCCGCCTCTCAAAACCGCCTGAAAAGGCAATTAAGTTTGTCTCTAAAAGTGACTTTCCCTTTGCAGTCAGGTAAAACCCATCACTGCCTTATATACTGTAACACTGCTGGTTTTAGTGGTGATTGCTTTTATTGGTAAAACAAAATCTTTCTATACATCATAACACAAACCTTTTTTTGTCCTTATTCTATGAGTGGAAATTGATTAAATTTTGTTCAAGGGCACAAAAAAGTTAACTTTATGAAGTATTGACTTTTTCTTGAATAGATTCTAGTTATTTTAATGTTTTGCCTTTTTACCTGTGTCTTGACCTACTACAAGATGTCTTTTTAATTTTCTTATACTACTCTCCATGAAGGCTAACGTTTATTCATGTGTGACAAACATGTAACTTAGCTATTTTTACTAACATTAAGAAAATGGCAATAATTCTTTTCAGTGATTTCTCTCTTTTTTTCTTACTTTTATCTAGTTCATGTTTTTTTAATTTATATTTTTATTTAGTTATTTAACATCAGCCCAGGCTCTGGTTGAGTTTTTTTTAGGCTATTTATAATGTTATCCTTCTATTGACTAAACCCTTAACTAAATACCTTTGTTGCCTTGATGCCTTGTGTTTAACATTCAATCCTCACTCACTTATTATTGTATAAACTAATCCTTCTGTACAGTGTTATCATGTGCTGAGTTTTCATCCATTTTTCTGAGTTTTCTTCCTGTGTGTGGAGCACGTCGTCATCGGTGTTCAGCTCTCCGTCAGTTAAAATTAGCCTCTAACTTCTGGTTGCTACTGTACAGACAATAATAAACACACGTTCCTCTCCTAAATGAAAACACACCGGTCTGGTTTCATTTTGAGCTGAAGACACATTGCCTCATTCATCTGTCTGGAGCTGAGCGTCTTCTTCCTTCCTCTCAGACAATTTTCCGTCAAGCGCAGGAAAGAAGAAGGAAACACTGCTGCTGACTCCATTCTGAAGACTCCCATCACTGGGATTCACTTCTTGTGATCAAACATCTGCACAGTGTGTGGAATTGCTTTATGTAACATCTACTGCCCAGACAACACAGACTCATCAGCTCATTTTATGACTGTCATCACATGAGCAGTCGGGGTTTTGAACCTGATACTTAGATGTGACACATGAGATGTGACACATGATGTGTGTGTGTGTGTGTGTGTGTGTGTGTGTGGTTGTGTTACACTGCTCTTAGTTTGCCAAAATCTGACAGAGGGTTTTTCTCTGTGAATCACACATTCTGAGGCTTTAGAACTCTTAATAACGGCCTTTTTCTAGAACATTTTACTTATGATTGGTTTAACATGTGCTCATCTGCACACAAGGCACACAGTCTCTTATTTCTGCAAGGGCACATGACCCACGTTGGCATGCCCACCCAGGAAGTGACTCCACCCTGAAGCCATGTCCAGAATTCCCCCTTCGTTGAAGTCAGGAGAGGGAGAAGGAGCTGATGGCGAGCAGCTTCACTGCCACAGGCCGTAGCCTCTCCATCTGCCCTTCTCAAAAGACTCCATTGTTCCCGGCAGACCGAGGCAGGAGAGAGAGAGCTAAAGAGCTACCTTGCCCGGCGGTTGGGCAGAGGTTGGGGCGGTGGGTGTTGGACTGCTGCCTAAAACCACATGGAGGAGAAGGAGGCAGACAGAGAGCATCTATGTGCAACTCACAGCCTGCTGTTGGAGTCCTGCCTCAGCTTAGCAGCAGCGTATGAAAAACACCACAACACGACATAAAATACTCACCTAACTGTCAGGAGGTTCAACCGACTTAACGGTCGGAGGCCAGTCACCTTCGTTCAGTGCTGTTTGTTTGCTAAATATTAGAAGAAGAAAAAAAGTTTACATTTTGAATCGTTACCTGAATGGGCCAATCAGAGAAGGCAGTTCAAATGGGGGAGAAAACAATTTGTATGTGTCATATAATTGAACCTGATGTAATTATTGTATTGACCAAGAGTAAACTGCTGCTCTACTGTCATAAATCACATGTTCTAATAAAATGTTTTTTTTACATGAAAAATATGTTGGTTGTTTATTAAACCAAAGCTTTAAAGCTGTTTTTATATTAATATTTTTATACATTTATTTTTAGAAAATGAACCAACTTTTCTGGAAACAGGGATCATTTCTTGGATGAATAATAATCTTCGCAAAAACGTTTCTGGATTGTTTTTTCATTTTCTTTTTATTGAAACAGTATGAACAAAAAAAACACTGCAATTAAATACAAGTTTCAAACTACCTTTTGGGGCAAAACTGAAAGACGCAGAACTGAAACTATGTGGTGAAGCAGAAGGGTGGACGGACACGCAGGTCGTTGCAAGTGTTTGCAGTGTCAAAAGTCTAGTCATTCCACATTACATCCCTCAGTCAGTGCACATGTTAAAAAGAGTCTGTAAAGCCAGCAGAGCTAACCTGGGACTTCAGAAATTGTACACCCACGAAGCCCACATGCAATTGCAAAAATAACACAAAAGACGGCCATTACTGCCTAACACTTTGCACTAAATCTAAAAGTGCATCTAATCATCCTGTGCCTGCAATCTGGAGCCTAACTGATAAAGACTAAAAGTTCTGTTCTGTTAATTCAACAAGTAAAATATTTGGAATAAATACATCATCGTCTGCGATAAAGGCACAGATCAACAAAGCTGTTGGTGTTTGTTGTTTTGTTTTTTTTGTTGTTGTTGGAATGGGTGATGGTTAAAAAAAGGACAGTCAATTCACATTAATAATGCACTTCAAAAAAATCCTCCTAACGGCTACCGAGAGAAGACCAGAGTGGCACAAACCCTTCTGCTAAATTTCACAGATATGTATCAGGTTTTTAGAAGTCAGTGTTAAAGTGGCCAGAATGTCACGTTACTCCTGCATTGGAGCGTGCCTTTGTTTTGTTTTTTGTTTTTTTTCCTTAACTTTCTCTGCTGGTCTCCGGATGACTGACCGGCAGAGTGTGTCACAAGTGTCATGTCAGGAAACCGTCGGCACTGGGTGCTTCATACGGTTGGCCGACACGTCGGGGGTCCAGGTGACAGGCGGGAAAATGTTTAAACGGTGCTGAGGGTGCGTTAAAGCCCACAACCATGGACTGAAGCTGCTGCTGTGTGTGTGTGTGTGTTTGCCGTCAATTCCATTATATAACACTAACCTACTCGACTGTATTATGAAAAAGTCATTAGTTGTATACTGTGTAGCGCCCCCTCCCTCCCCCCTCAGCCTCCCCAGCCCCTTGCATTGTATATACATCTTGTGGAATTTGGAACAGTCTCTCTTGCGTTTTTTTTCCCCTGTTCCCACCTTCCCTTTGTTTTTAATTTCTTTTCTTTGGCATTTCCCCCCCCATTTTTATGTTTCTTTCTACAATCTTAACCCCACCCCACCCTCACTGCTCCATGTCACGAAATACTTTTTTTTTGTAACAAAATGCATCTTGAAATTCTCTGTGACATCCTGCTGTCACCTCGTTTTGTTCACTGAAGGGCAGAGGGAGCTTTTTTCTTCTTCCGCCGTTTACTTTCTTTTGTTCTTTGGTAGTCCAGACTGCTGGTTAGGTTGGTTTAGTTCTGGTGTATTAATGGTCAAATATGGCATTACAGTCAGTAGTTCAGAATTTCCAGAACTTTGGATTTTGTTGCTGATGCTTGGGAGTTTTTTTCTTCAAAGGCTGTGGAGTAGAGAGAAAAAATAAGAGTGAGTGTTTGCACAGAATATTATGGTCTGTAGGGTAAGGGTTAAAGGAGTTTTATATCATCTTCAACTCAGTTACAGGATTCAACAGGTGTTGTCTTTGGGGGAAAGTTATAGGAGGACACAAACAGATTAATGCAGTAAATATTTGGAAAATATTTGGTTTTCTTCCTAAATTTGCCTCGGAATTCAGACTCTCAATAATGAGATTTAAGACATTTTTCTTCTCCAAAGTCAGACACTACATCCTTTTGTTGAATTTCAAATAAAATAAATGGTTTTTGACACGCTCTAATTTCCAGAAAACATGTCTATTTGTGGCCCATGTTCATTGGACTACGTACAATTGATATGAATTAGCGTTAGAGCTTGAATTTCAGTACTTTTTTCGTTAACCAAAGTGATTGATATTGAGAAACAAGGACGGGGGTCCAAATTTTAGCCCAATCTGCCTCCACACTGATCCAATACTGGCTGAGTAGGAGTCAAAAATATTGGATTTGTTTTTATTCCTTTAAGGAGTTAATCTTAATTAGAATATATTTTATTTAAGAGGATTTATAAAGACTTATAAGTAGGAGTGTTTGTGCTGAACAACGAAGCAGAAGAACGGATTTAAAAGATTAGAACAAAATAAAAATACACTGAGAATACACAAAAACTGCAGTTTGTAAAATAGGCCGACAAACAAACACATTTAGACTGATGATTAGTTGACCTAAAATAACTGAAAAACATAAGTTGCTGCCCCTTGACTGACAAAAACAAACTCTCTGTAAAAACACCGGATTACGTCGTTTGGAGACTAAGTCAACAAACATGTTCATTTTGACACAGAAAAACCCTGAGGTGAACAATGTTCCTCTGAGGGCTGAGGGTCTGTGTCAGCCAGAGCGGCGGCAGCCATTGGACTGAAATATTTATGCAGGGAACAGGACAGTAGTTACACAGTGGTTAGGTAGATTTGCTTTTTTTTAAAAAAAAGGGATAAATTTACAGAAGTCATAATGTTGTCTTTTTTCACAGGTTTTTTGCTCCGGGCTGACCTGTGACACAAGAAAGAGTCACCGTTAGCTGTGCATGCAATTCATCGCTGTATTTATCTCTCAGTGGGAAGGGCCAAAGGTCACAATTGATTCGGATACTATACTATATATGTGACTATAAATTATGAATCACATGACAAGGATGAGACCAGTGTCACTGCATCTTCAGAGAAAACGCATCGTAACTGCTATGACAAATGAAGGTACTCACGTGTATTTCCTCATCCTCCTCACAACAGTTATCACCACAACAATGACGATGACCACTGCCAACAGAGCACCAATAACAATGCCGACCACCTGACCAGAGCTCAGGCTCCCTGGAACACCAACAACATAGGTTGTTTTTTTTTTTTTTCTGGCAACATGGCTGCAAGTACAATTGACAGCCCTTGTGTCCCCTTGTGGGGAGATCAGGTACTGCCCAGCCAAATTGGACAAATGGACAAAAACTAGGACTGTCAAACAATTATATTTTATATCAGATTAATTATAAAGTAGCTGTAGATTAATCATGATTAATCAAGGAATATATGTATATATATTGAATGTTATATGTTGAATGTATTTTCAAGGTCCTCTAGAGGTCCTTGTGTGAAACAAAAACATTTTCCAGCAGTGTGCGTAAATACCGCACAGTGTACCAACTGTGTATTAGTGCCTGTCGTTCTGCGTATCGAATGTATCACTCTTATCAAATCTGACAAATTAAATAATGTGAATAATTTTGACTGCCTCTAAAACACAAACAGAGAGAACGATGACAGATTACAGTGGTCCTGCCAATCCTCACCATTGGTGCCATCTTCCATCACAACCCCGTCTTCTTGCTCATAGACTGCTGTTGCTTGGGGTTGAACCTCAGGGGCAACAGTGGCGCCTGTTTGGACCTCAGGAGCTGCCGTCCCCTCAGGCTGGAGCTCAGCTACCGACGTCGCCTCGAGTAGGACCTCGGCCGGGGCTGTGGTCTGCTCAACAGGAGGACCGGTGGTGATAAGTTCTGCTGCGTCAGTGACGGCGCTAGTGACACCTGCTGTCTCAGAATCAGGGAATGGTGTAGTGATGATAAAGGAAGCCACGGTCAAAGGCAGAGTCTCAGTTGTGACCTCTTCTGGGGCCGCTGGAGGGTCACTTGTTGGGCCGGTGATTATTGTTAGTTCAGTTTGTTGTTTGTTGTTTGGTGTAGTTAATTCTGCATCCACAATAGTGTTTGACACTACAGAGGATACGTCAGGGAGTACAGTGGGACCTGTGGAGTTTAGGAGACAGGTCAGTGGTGGCAGGCAGCAGGTACATGAGCAGCTGTCCACTCTTATAATACAGTGATTCCCAACCTCTGTGCCGTGGCACACTAGTGTGCCGTGAGAGATCATTAGGTGTGCCGTGGAAAATTATTATTATTTCATTTAATTGACCTGAAAAATATAATGTATTTATTGCATGTATTTTCATTTTTCTCTTCTGCTAGGTGGCAGCAGATGGCTATGGAAACTAAAAAAAAGATCATCAGAGCTGTTGAAGAAGATCTTTGTGAGTGTCTTTCTTCAATTCCTGCCAGTATATCAGCAGTGCCTTCAACTAAACAGACCAAGATTTTAGTCAATTATGAGCTCATTTAAACTAGAAGATTATTATATTTCATTACATATACGTTTCTGTTTGGTGTTGTGCTAAAAAAAGACTGGGAAACACTGTTATAATAAACATTCTACCCACTTTAACAGAGTCAGTTCTGTCAACTATTCTGTACTAGAAGTATCTGTCTGCACTTTTGTTCAGTCAGCGAAGCTAAGCTAACAATCTGCTTGTTTGATGTCACAGTGGTGCTAATGTTGCCCCTCCCACCCCCCAACTGACAGTTTTTGTGGTATTTGTATCAAGACAGGACATAATTCAAGTTTTTGGAGGTGGACCGTACATCTCACTCTCTTCATTAGTGGGTGCTCAGCACAACCTTGGTCTGCCCTGCGTGGATTTAACTGTTCACTCTCACAAATTTAGAGTTTCCAATCAACATAATCGCTCATCAGCATGTTTTCTTAAAGTGGGAGGAAACAGAGTGCATGCTGGGAGCTCTTCTTACTTGATAACAATTTCACAGTTATGTTGTTCTACAAAATGGCTGCACACTCTACCTACTCATCATATTATTTCAGTGAAAGATGCAGCTGTCAACACAAAAGACTCCAGTGATTTGTAAAGGCTATAAACCAGGGCAGACTGGAGATGGGAAATTTTCAGCCGCCTGTGAGCTCTTTCCCAATTTCTCACACTCTCTTGTAACGATTCTCCCGTCATCAGCACATGGTCAGAGCCGAGAGCGTGACCACCACACCCCATGACTTCATTACGAGAACATCCTGCCTCCACTTCTCCTCCTGCATCCCCTCCATCCTGTCTTCAAGGCTCTGTGTTTGCGTACATGCATGCCACATCCTCTGCCTCATTTCCTGTGGATGGAGCCACTGCTGCTGCTGCTGCTACTGGAGCCGACACGTAAGGAGAGCAGCAGCAGCAGTGGCAGCAGCCTTGTTAACCCTCAGCTGCTCAGCATGTGCAGGCGCAGCAGGGTGTGGTCGCAGGGAGGACGGCCACTAGTGTGAAAAAACACGTGATAATTTGCAGTTTCTTGACCTCAGACCATAAAAGGTTTACACAAGGGTAGAGCAGACACCTAGAGGACGGAGGAGTCATGTATTCAGTAAAGAATGAAACTTCTAAATGTACGAGGAGTTCTGTTATTAATTTGGGTCACTTACATTTAAAAGTAGGGCAAGTTAGAGTTAAGAAGTTGGTGCGGAGAAACGATAGAAAAACTTTATTTTGTTTATCCCTCAGTCTTTTCATCAAGGCCTGGACTGTGAAGCAGCCTGGGCTGAACCTAATCATTTCCCTCCAATAATCCTAGCTCCATCTCCCCACAATCTACATCCTCCTCGCCACAACTGAAAAGTCTGCCTGGACAGCAATGCTTCAAAATTAAGGAGGTAGATTTCAGTGTGGCACCAAAATTATGGTCTATGGTTAACTTTCCACTGACACGATGTTGGCCCCGGGCTCGTCTTCTCCTTTGAAAATCAACTTTCGCTCCCAAAAAAAGTTTCAGAATGGAGCCGAAAAGAGCTGAAAGAAATATTTGTGTCTCGAGTCTTAAAAACTCAGTTTTCATTCATTGTTCTGAGTACTTTACAGACAGAATACTTGACTGGGGTAAAAATAACCCCGGACACAGGCCGGACACAATCGGCGCACTTATTCCCAGTACAGCGCTGGATGGTGTGTTCATTAGCAACAGGCGGGGGTAAATATAACAAAACATTTGTTCCTGCTTGGGCACAGTCCCCAGGGCTTTTTTTGTTTTAAACAACGACACAGACTGTTTGTTTGGAGCATCTGAAAGCGATGATAAAATGGCCCGTGCTTCACGGAGCAGAGCCCTGCACTTTGTGTAATTGTCCCCTCAAACTGCACTAACAATTGTTTCATTATGTGTACAAGTTCCTACTATTAACTCTGAGCAGGACTTCCTCCCCACTGTGCTAACTATCTGGGGTTAACGCAGCAACATTAGTGAGTAACACGGTGAAGACTGTTCCCGCTCTCTTCCTCCCTCTTCACCTAATTCCTTATAATCATCTTCTCACTTGTCTTCCTCTCCGTGCTCCTGCCACTCCCTGGGGACGGCGCCTCAAACCTTTGTGAATGAAGTATCTCAAGGGAGGATGGGTGAGAAACAAAGGTGGTTGGGACTGCGAGGGAGGGTACGTTTCTGAACAGTTGCCCTGAACCTCCACCGCTGCTTCATTTCAGCCACAACCTGGTACAACCTGGTATGTTGACACAGGGAGTCGTGCACCGTCTGACACGCGGTCAGAGCCCACTACCCTCCTTTTGTCCTGACGCAGCTCTGGCTGCGTTTTTTTTTTTTTTCAGTCCTAAATGTAGATGACGTAATGTTGGCGTTGTTGTTATTATTCCAAATTTTTTAGCGGTGTGCCCGGATCATTTTATCCACCATTACATCACTTAACCACATGTTCCCTCTCATATCCATTTCCATGTAAAGCAAGCAACAGCCTGAAATCATCTGGCCACTCAGTAAACAGTCAGCAGCTACCACGTTGTGAACGTCTGAGTGTCTCTGACTGAGCCCTGAGTCACCCACTGGATGTTAGTGGTTGATCTGCCATAATTAGAAAAGTACAGCTAAGTACAAAATTATTAGTATTTACCCAAGTGGTTTTATACAGAGCGAGGGATTTTTAACAGCATTTTTTAACATCTTCGGGGCATTGAGGATCCCCCCCCCCCCAAGTTTCTGGGTAACAACTACCCAGTTTGGCTGCTTGGGGTTTGTAAATTAATGTTTTGAAATGATTTCTTTTGACCCTTACAAAACACCAATGTCCAGGATGCACTGAATGTCTGACACAGCGTCACACCTCCACTCTTGGGTTTCACTGCGGGGACGGTGTTCTTTGTGTAACAGGCCTCTCCTTTCCTTCTACAAATACAGGAAATATGTCCATATGGACGGAAACTTCTAGATCAGAATAATCTGACTGATTCACATGTGTCTCATATGGTGGAGCTGTTTCCACATTCTTCTCACTGGTCTTTACAGTTATCCTTCTTACAATTATTCGGTGGTGTCCAAACTCATTTTATTTCAAAAGAAATCAAATCTTTAATTTTCTACATTTGCCATATTTTGTACAGGCTGGAGAAATGTCCTGACACTAGTTCCTCATACATGTTTTTTTCTTGACTTTTTTAAATTCCCCTGATCTTTGAGCATCAACTGTCATTTCTGAACTCAGTTTTAGTTTTTTAACCCGATGCTGTTTGAAGCAAATATTTAATGAAGAGTGCAAACACCTTGAATTTACATGCAAATTTCTGGCAATAACAGGTTAATGTGGTCAGTTCCACTGGGGTCAATAAAGCGACCACAGGTCAAATTAATTTTTCAAAATGATGTCATTTCTACGTGAGTTGTTCTAATAATTCTGCCTTCAGTTGTTCATCTTCTCCTGATTTTCCTCAAACATTACACAAGAATTTTTAAAATGAGGCAAATTCTTCTGGCAAATATAAGGCAGTTAAAGGCAGTTTAGTCGACTCCTTCTGGTTGTAGTGTCAGTGATACTTGCTTTAAACTTAACCTCAACTCTGCCTTAGTGCCGTGACCAGTGAGAATTTACTGCTGGCTGGCACAAATAAAAGCTGCCGAGTGATGGAAGGAGTCAGTTTACAGTGTTAACAGGGAGTAGCTGCTGTGCATCCATAATGATCACAATCAGCCGTCACAGAGGGCCAAGCATGTGTGTGTGTGTGTGTGTGTGTGTGTGTGTGTGTGTATGGGGCAGAGCAGGAGGTGTTAGGGAGTATGAGTCTGTCCACCTTTGGAGCTAAGGAATGTTTTTGCAGCAACGTAGGAGAGAAAAGGGAGACACTTGGACACCTCAGACATGTGACTGCACTTTGATTAGATGCTCAGGGGCAAATACTCCCACACTGCAGCAGCAGGAGTCGGCTGTGGAGGTACCAGGGCGTGCCACGCACTGCACTAGACCTCACTGCCAGTTGGGGATTCAGTAAACAACAGACGGTCTGAATGATCTTATCACAGTGAGCAGCCACATTAATCCAGTAACTGGTGTGGACGCCCAGTTGGTCCGACTGAGATAGGAGGGCACGCTTATCACAGAGGACAGAGCCTGGTACCACACCTTGAACAGTAGGATCTGTTCACGTCAACTTCAACTAACCTCCTCCTTTCTTTAAAAAAAAAAAAAAACTTGATTGAACCTCTGGTTTTATAAAGTCAGCCTCTTCATGGATTCCTAGTCTTCGCTAACCTTAAAAAGCATCCGCCCAGTTCTCCAAGTCTGACTTCGTCAGCAGCAGCTCTGTGAAGTACCAGTGGGTAAAGGTGCCAGAGATATTTGCTCACACCAAAAAAAGAGTGCAAAAAAAAAAAAAAAATTCAGCCATTGCTGAAGTTTTTTTGCCACTGCTGAAACCCCTGCTGCTGCTGCTGCTGCTGCTGCTCCGTGGAGCCTTCAGGACTATGTCCAGGCTGAAATGGCCTTTCCATAAACAGATGTGTCTTTATCCTGCTGGAAATTTTTTTGGAAGTGTAACTGAGCGCCATTATTTTCTTATTTTCTTAACCCAGAGTGAGACCTGAGAAGTTGCTCGTTTCTCATGTTTCCTCTTAATTGCAACTCAAGCCCAGCATTTAAGTCATTTCTCAAAAACGGCCACGAACAAAAGGGCGCTGACCCCTGGCGTTTAGCATCCAGATGTGACAGAGATGTTATAGTTTCAGGGACGCAGACAAAACTCATTAGGCAGGAGACCAGGCCAAGGTTATGAGGCAGCAGCGCTGTAAAAAGAAGGAGGTGAAGGTTTTACAGGCTACAGCGAGAAGGAGCCTGTTTTTTTTTTTTTTTTTTGGAAAATTGAGGACACAGAAATGTTCCTAAGGTTTACAGAGTCAGACTTGGTCAGGACTAAGTCATGTCCCCTGTGGTACAGAACCATCACTACAGGACAGGGGGATTCCTGTAGTTGTAAGAGAGACCTGGGGATGTAATGGGTCAGGGGCAGGAGAGAGAGGGGGCGGGGCGGGGGGGCTCAAGTGGCAGAGCATGATACCCCACCAAAGATGGGTAAATGCCAGGGGGCAGTGCAGAACACAGACGAATAACATGTGGGTAAGAGAGCGAAGGAGGGGGCGGGGTCGGGGTCTCTTAAAACTCATCATGTCGCCGGTGCTCCCTCTGTTCCCGTCTGCTCCTCTCACAGGCAATGAGCCTCCATTTACAGTCTCTCTATTAATACACACACACACACACACACACAAATGTGTTGGCCCAGCCTCAGGCCTCAGACACACACACACACACACACACCCAGCTCAACACCCCGTGCCCGCCACTTCCTCTGGGCAAAGTTTGGACGAGAAAAAACAGGAGGAGAGTCCGGGGCGTAAATAAAGCGACAGTAAAATCCAAGTGGAGGTTGTTGGATAAATGTGTACGGTGTACGTTACAGTTTATAGCCCACACTGCCCCCCCACACCTCCCACACCCCCCTCCCTCAGTCTGAATGAGCTCTGTTTAGAGAGCCTTCAAAAGGATATCCCTTTCTTCTCTTCTCTGCCAGTGCCAAGAATGTACAGACACGAGGCAGCTGAGCCTCTGCCATTATATCACATTTCACAGCGTGCAAATCAAACTTTTCCTCCTGTTCTGAAATCTGTTGTACACGTGAAAACAAAGACAGTGTGATACTAATTAGTCAGTGTGCAAGGGTTTGGTTTTGGCTCCACGACTTGCCTTTTCCACCATTAACTCTCAATGGAAAACAATAACTATGACATAAGAGACAAGAGTGACACGAAAGACATGTCAGTGATGAAATAGAATTCTGATAAAAAAAACAACAACTTTGTGAACAGAGACAGCAGCAGTTCTGTTGACTCTCATAACGGCAGAGTGTTAAGTCCTCAGGGATTAAAGCAGACAAAGAGGTGGTGGAGCGTTGGGCGCGTGGAGACAGGGACGGGGACAGAGACAGAGAGGGGACACAGTGTGCTAACGGCAGGACAGTCACTTACTTGCATGTGTGAAGCCACAGAAGGACCCCAGCAGGGCCACCAGGAGGAGCAGCTGAACATTCATTGTAGTGAAGACTTTCTTCTTCCCTGGACAACACCAGAGTGTTTTACACACACTCACACACAGAGAAAGACCCAGACACACACTAACGCACCTCACACACCAGCCCGGTCTCTCTTCTCCAGAGGGAGGAAGCGACCAAAAAAGGTGAAGAATGGAAATGAAAATCTTCACAGAAGGATGGGAAAAGTGAGAAGCCTGACGCCCGTTTGACTCAGAGGTGATGATGTGATTGGGCTGAGCCGGTCACCGTGCTGCTCCAACAGATGGAAGTGGATGTGGAGAGGAGCAGGGGAAAAAGAAGCAACTGTGACCACTGGAGGGAGAGAGGGAGGGAGAGAGAGAGAGAGGAGGGGGGCAGAGGGGGCTGGCACACGACAGGAGACTGAAAAGAAAAGTGCGTGAGTCAGTGACGGAGCCGCGTGGAGGAGGGGAGCTGGTACTGCTGCATGTGGTGGGAGAGGTGGAGGGCACAGGTTAGGGTGTCTCCTGATTGGTCGGTTGGAGGTTCCACTTTATCAACAGCTCTCAAACACGCACACACACATTCAGAGGCACAGATAAACAGCTATCAAGTCAACAACACACAGCAGTGAGTCATGTTGGTGATTTGACATTTTAAAACTTTCATTTAAAAGTACTTCACAGTACTTCACAGTACTTCACGGAATAATCACAGATACATCTTTTCTGGCTGATTACTGGAAAAGTAGTTGTTTTTTAAAATTAGTTTGCTCCTGAGAGAGAGAGAGAGAGAGAGAGAGAGAGAGAGAGAGAGAGAGAGAAGATTACAGTTGGAACACTGTGTGACTTCATACAGCATGTAGCCTGGGTGGTCCGTTTACTATGCAGGCGGCAGAGGGCAAATAAACCGCCACCTGGAATTAGGCTGACACCTATTGGACAACAGGCAGCATAACCAGTGGCTCATGAGCTAAAACAAAGTTTCTAAATTAGCTGATACACATTGTAAAAGATTTTTTTAAAGACTACAATGTGTAATTTTGTTGCAATAAAAGTGTAAATAATCAAATACCATGGACAATGTCCAAGACATTAAGTGTTTTCCCTGAACAAAGTGTTTCTGGACAATCCCTAAACACAACATCAGGGTTTGAGCTGTACAGGAAACAGCTGTGGCACATCGCTGCAGAAGAATACTCTACGTTTCTGTAGATCCTAAGGTGCCTCGATCCACAATTTTATATGTAAGTAATTAAACTGTGCGCCTCGTTGTGGACCTATTGCATGAAAGATGATAAAATAATGAGAGCACATTCAAGGTTAGCGCAGTAAAAATGGTCAATGACATTTTTAATAAACACTGAAACAGATTTGAACTGTTGAACTGTCATACACAGATTGTTTCGACACACACAACGCCAACGGCAAAAGTTTGTTTTTTTTTTTCCTGATTTTTTTTCCCCTTTTCAAACCACCTATTTACAGTCAACTAAAGGTATTTACTTCACACGTCTCCTGAAAGGACAGGTAACAAAAAAAAAAACGTTCCGGTCCATTTTGGCTGCCACCATCAGGTCAAACAGAGCAACAGACTGTTATTTACAGGGACACTGACACACGAACGTACAATATATATGCTGGTCTCTGGTTTACAGCATTTGATGGCAATGGTAAAGTCGCTTATTTTCAATGATGAGACCTTATGTTGACTATTTACTGAGAGCACTTTAAGTTCCAACATTTCACTGTGTATACATGTAGTAAAAACAAAGTATTTGCTCCTCGAGTGTCTTATTTCTGCGGACTGTTACTGCAGGCGAAAGGAAACGGAAGAGAACTGTACACACGGTTACACACAGGCAAAAATCAAACGTCACAGTAGAAGAAAAGTCCCGCGTCTTGAATAGTCTTTGTTCTTCTTTTGGATGACTTTTGAAACAAAGAGATAAAAGCCCTGCTAGTTTGTTTTTATTTTTTTTCTTCTCTTTGCATTAGATGATGTCAAGCTTTACATTGTGCACAAAAAAAAAATAAAGCAAAACCACTTCTACACTTCTTCTCTGCTGGAAAATTACACTGGAAATGATGAACTAGTTGGAAAAAACCTGGTCAGCCAGCGCTGCATCGTCTACTTCAATTAAAGTTAAGGTTTTTTTTTTTCCCACTATGGTGTTTATTGAAATAAACAACAACAAAAAAACCACTTAAGTGATATATAACCCAACTCAGGAACTCAAGGATGAGATGGAAGAATGTGAGTGAGGTGAATCAAACATCGACTAGTCGACTATCGACCGAAAAACTGATGTCAAGTGTGATAAAATGAAGCTAATGAAAAGCTGGTGCAGAGAACTGAGAGATAATTATATTTATTTCACGATGAGTGTTGAAAATGTAATTATGTGGGTAAATTAACATTGACCTGAAACCTGTCGTGGTCTGGGGACACATATTTGCTTCTCCGTGGTCTTCAGGATTTACCCACCTTGTGATATAGGAAAGCAGGAGATCATAAAATTTGAAAGAATGAAAAAAAAAGAATGAAAGTACATTCTCCAGAAATGTGGTCTTAACTTCACTGCTGTGCCTCTAAATCATTATCCACCACAACAAAACCTCACTAATGTCTCTGTCGCCTTGTAACCTTCGTGAGGAGAAGAGGTGGATAAGAGGTGGGCAGAGCATGGAGGCGCTCATTACCATTAAAAAGGTAAAGGTGTAGGAATTAGCCACTCAGAAAATGAAATTCAAACATGTGTCTAAAGAATCCATCTGTGTTCAATCCCTTGTTTTTTTTTTTTTTTGTTTTCGATCAAAGCGTGTTACTAACGTCTCATTTAGAAATCAAGGAACCATGTCAATTTACTAGAGAGTAAGTGGCCAAATCCATCTGATAAACCAACCAAATAAGGCATCACAACTCTTATCTGCCTGAAGACAGTCTTCATCTGTTATGCTGCTGGGGGATCAGGAAATTTCCTTCAACTGCTAAGACACACTGCACACTTCATCGATCCTTCTTTTTAAAAAGCTGCTCGTGAAAGGACAGGATGGAGATCGGGACTTGATATCAACTGATGCCAAATTAACAAAAAGATAGGACGTGGATCAGGAGCCAAAAAAGCTGATTGGATATCAGGCATCCTCCAGGATAACGTGGTAAAAGCATTTTCAGAATTTGATGAAATAGAGTCTCTGTACATTTCAAGCACTGACGCTAAAGTTTCACAAACATACACTGCGCAGCAGGAAGCAGAACATTTAGGAAATTAAAAATGTAAATATTTCACAGACGACTCATCAACACTTTGGCGACTTGTAACCCTGTTGTTGCTCTGGAGGGACACAACACGAGACAGTTCGGGGAGCCTCAGATGACCACCGTTACAACCTGGCTTGGTCCAGTTTTTATGATGTGTCATTTTTTTTTTCGTTTTCATGATTGTCTTTAGATTTTTCCACTGCTTCAACCAGAAAATCCCAAACTTCAAATGTTTTTTTTCCCTGTTAGATTGTCTTCTGTTTTTTTTTTTTTTTTTTCTCACTGACAAATGCAGCGGTTTGGTCCGTGCCTTACCTCAGGTGTCTCTACTAGACTGTCTGTGCTCAACCACCGGCTCCTCTTAGACAATAGAGTCCCAGTCAAAGTCATCCTGGATGTCATCTGCAGCCAGCATACGTCTTACCTGAAAGTGTCCTGGAGGAAGTGTGTGTGGCTGCTGGCTCAGCTGGCTGTGATGACCTGCACAGGAAGGAGGACCAGTGTGAGACACAGCACAGAGACATTTCAAGACACATTTTCTCTTTATTTTGTTGGGATTGACGACTAGGCGGAAGAAGGGATTTTTTTTTAAATAAACTACCCGGAAAACTGAGAAAAAAAAAATATATAATTTGAAATAATTTCGGTAATTAATGCATGGATAACTGCTAACATAACATATCTCTATTTTAATTGTATTTAATTTTCATTAAAAGTCACTTAACTGCTTTACTGAATAAGATTTGTAAACACTGATAATTCAAACAGCTTTTATTCATATCAGTTACTGACATCTAGTGGTTAAATTGTTTACTACAACTAACAGACTACTACTTTTGTAAGCGTGACAACAGGAAGTCGATATTTAAAAATGTTCAGCGTAATATCGACCCAATAGGTGGCAGAATTTAGACCTGAAATTAAAACGAGCTGAGGGAGTTGTATATGCAATGAGGCCTTGTAGAGGTTTTGTTACAACGTCCATTTGTTCCATCCAGTGACCAACTGACAGTCCTACAGCTTGACATATTACTTTCCCTCGTGTAAAATGTGCTGAGACTAAATCCTGTCAGTCCTTATATTCTGGAGGAGTCACCTGTCATAGTTGGAGCTGTGTTGTTCATTGGGGGCATGTGTGGGTACCCTGGTGGACCCATCAGAGAGGAGATGCTCTGTCTTGTGTCCATGTACATGTTTCCTGGAGACAGACAGAAGGACAGAAGGACTTAGAGTCAGGTCTTCTATCAAGGCTGAATCCTCATCTGTGAAACCGCCCCCCCCCCCAGTCACCTGTGCTAATGTGTTGGCCGTGGTGATTATGCTGTCCATGCTGATGATTATGCTGGCTGGCCTTTGGGTGCATGGCCCCGTGTGGCTGAGCTGGATGCTGCGTTGCCCCCGTCGGCGTCGGGTGTTGGACCTGAGCTTGCGTGTGAGGGGCGCTCTGAGGGGGCGTGACCCCCGTGGCCGTGAAGAACTGGTTAATAGAGGAACACAGGTCTGCCATCTGGGCGGCGTCCAGCGACCAGTTGTTGAGCTCAGCCTGACGCATGCTCTCTTTTAGACCTGACTCAGACGGACAGAGGAGGCAGTGACAAACGTGGCTGTGACTCACCGTCCAGACTGAGCTGCTCCATGAGAATTAACAGGGGAGTAATTAATGACACTCTTTTCATGAAACACAAACTCTACTTTATTACAGTTCCAACACCTTTCAGCTACCAACTGTCTAAGCTGCTGCTACATTTGTTGAAAACATTTGGCGTACATTTATGACAAAGTTACATTCACACTGATTTTCAGAAGATCAGGCTGAGAAAAAAAAAAGAAAAGAGATCAGAACAGCAGAGCACCGTTCAGGTGTGTGTGTGTGTGTGTGTGTATGCACCAGCCATTATAAAAAGCTGTTATTAAGGTGTGGACAAATTATATCATTCACATTGTGTTATGGATGCTAAAGAGAAAGAGGAGGCAACAAAGGCTGTGGCCACTTTTATTAGAGCCAGGCTGTTACAGCCTGGATATTTTAATATGGAGCCTCAAGGGCAGGTTCATATTAAAGTGTGCTGAGGATTCATAATGATTTAATCAAAGGAGCTGAGCAGCATCATAAGCACTTTATTTTAGCTCCCTGTGCCTGGCAAGGCGTTCAGGTGTGTGTGTGTGTGTGTTTGTCTGTTACCTTGAAATGGGGAGAGATCAACGTCAGCCCAGTTGTAGCTCGTAGCGATGCGACAGCTCTCCTTCAGCCAGTCCAGGTTTGGATACCAGTCAGAAGAAATGCCTGAGAAACATCACGTAGAAAACAGATACACAGATATGAAATAAAAACTGAACTAAAAAAAAAAATGGCAAGACCTATATGACATTTAATCTTATTTAATAGTTATAAAATATATAAAACTATAAAATATTTAATAATTCCAATAAAATTTTTCAAATGATACATATTATTATAATTATTGTTATTATATTTTATATATACTGTGCTATATTGTATTGTATAATACAAATAAAAGCTGATATATATGGAGCAAAATGTTTAACCAAGAGTTACAAAGTCAGTATCAATGTAAAGATAAACCATCCTAAAAAGGTAAAGTTGGAAAATAAAAATGTAATCTCATCTAATACTAACATAGAAGGTCATTTCTTAAAATTTTCAAACAATTTTGTTAAATCATTAAACCTGTGGTGTGGCAGTTGGGTGCAGAGTGGGAGAGACCCGGGTGCTGTTGGTGCTGCCCATGTGCCTGGTGCTGGCTGTGGGTGGAGTGAGTGGAGTGAGTGGAGAGGTGCTGCTGTGCAGGGTGGGAGTGGTGCGAGCCTTGACCGTGATTGTGTTGGTTGTGGTGGTGCCCGCTGCTGTTCACAGCACCAGGTGAGTGCTGGTAGGAGCAGGCGGTCCTGGTCTGCTGGCTGGAGTCTCCAGGTAAACCCATCAACCCTGGCACATGAAACAAAATCAGCATTCATGACAAAGGAAAAGATATTTCTCCCAGATCATTATCTAATATGGCCAGTAGAGGGAGCACTGTCTATGCAGTAGGAACAGTCTTTGGTGTTGAGTCTTCTGAACATCAGGACAGGAAGTTAAATGTTATTGGTCACTACAGAGCTGCTGTTTTTGTTTGTTTGTTTGTTTGTTTGTTTGTTTGTTTTACCAAAATTATACTTATAAATGGATGTTTGTGATTGGACGCTGCATATGCATATTTACTTCAGACTTACTAATTATGCAACATGATTAATTATTTACTCTAAGATAACCATGACAAGGACGGGATAGCCAATCAAAATGCCTGAAAATACAACAAATCATGTGTTTTTAAATGTACTTAGAACTGATATCAAAGATCTGGCCTGGGGGCTGTATCTGGTACATGCAATCGTGATCACAGTAGATTCAACAATGTTGTAGGACATAATTAAGACAGATTTGTTTTGACAATAAATCAGTAAGTATTTACGTCAAATTTGAAGAATCTAACTTTGAAACACTGGTTTGCAAATTAAATGGACAATTTTGTGTTTTATTCAATGGAAATTTTAACCCCAATTTTTAATTTATTATAAATATCTCTAAATATGTTCCTTGTTCAACAGATATTATTGCCACATAACAAAAACATCTGCTGGAATATATAATTAGACATATATAAATATATATATTTTAATGACGGAGTCAGTGTCGACCGCTGATTTAACATCCAAATGAATACATTTAGCTATTTTCGTCGGCTTTTGTTACTTGTTATTCATGAGACTAGGACAGAATAAGGATACGGCAGAAAGTGGCAGCAGCGCCCCCACACCTGAGTCATTTTCAGTTTGGTGTGTGGTGGTAGATGCGCCACAGGTTTTTTTCAGAGGAGACAAAGAGCTCTGCGCTCTGTCTGTGTGACTCACAAACCCTCAAATACAATGGGAGCTGACAGCGCTTCCTGTCGAGCATCACATTTGCGGGACCGTTACAAGCATCTGCAAGATCCATTATCTTCCTCATTTTTTTTTTTAGTTCTCCTTGTTGTGTGACTTTTTTTTCTCCCCCTCGACTCACATTTAGCTGTGTGCACCCCTGACCACACAGTGAAGGACCTCAGAGAGCTCCACACCGCGTGTCAATCTATTTTTTCTTCTATGTACAGAGGAGGTGGAAAAAAAACAGGCAGAAGGGAAGGTGAGTGGAGGAGGATGGCGATGGTGGTGGTGTCCATGTGGGAGGAGGCCTGCTGACCTAAAAGCTTGGAGAAGCAATTAGCGAGATGATTCACAAAGTTTAGAACCAATCTAATTAGCTGTTATCAAAGCAGCAGAACCCTTTGCTCTGCTCGACTGCAGTTGTGTTTGAGTTTTTCCTTCTTTTTTTCCCCCTCCTTCTTTCTGTTGAATTCTTGCTCTTAATTGCCTTGACTCATTTGACTGAGCCAGTTGTAAAATGCAGATATGCGGAACAACAGATTGTTTGTTTATTAATATACAATAGAGAGGGAGAAGCGTGAGGTGGAGGTTAATACTGGAGCGACTCTACTGCCGGCAAAGCGATGTTAATTTTTGTTTCTTAAGCTTGACAGTTAATTATGTGAAGTGAAACTAATTTATGTTTTTTTTTTTTTTTTTTGCTCTTCATTGCTGGTTTACGTAGTACGAGAAAGAAGAGTTTACACCCACCTTGCTGGGAGAACGACTGCTCAAAGACGCACTTGTAGAGACTGCGGAAAGAAGCGCTGAGGTCTTCAAAGTCGGAGAAGCAGAGCTGCTTTTCCCTCGACTCTTGGACGGACAGACCGTACTGGGGCTGCGGTGGAGGAGGGGGCAGTGGTGGAGGCTGGGTGGGCTGCTGGAGGCTCAAGGACTGGGAAGAAGGTTCAGAGTGGTTGCTCACCTTCAAAAGAGAGAATAATAATTAAAAAAAAAACGTGAGGGAGAAAAGTGGGACGAGAACTGGAGGAACAAAAATGCATAAAATTAGCACTTTTGGCTGCGACTTCTTCCTGGTTTTGACAAATATGTAATTTATCAAAGTTGGGGTTCAAGGTTTCTCTATCTGTCACTGTTTCTGCCTACAGCTCCATTTGAGAAAGAAATAAACAAATAAATACTGAATAAATAAATAAAAAAAAGCTGAACACAATGCAGTAAAAATAAAATTCTGAAAAACCAATATATGTACAGTATATGTATATTTACATGTATATAAATATATAACACTATGTGTGAAATATATAGTGAGAACAAGCATTTATGTATATAAACTGAGAATATTTTATAAATATATATTATATATGAGGTATTTTGTATATAGATGTAAATATGTATAGTTAAATATATTTGTATTTACATAAACATACTGTATACACATATAATTATAGAATTATTTATAAAATTTAAAAACAAAAAACTTAGTTCACCCAATATAAAAAGATAATTATTTCAGAGAAAATCAATGCATCTATTCAACAGAAGAAGAAGAAAAAAGTCAAATTAAACATGACCAATTAATGCCTAATGAATAAACGCTCCACTGAGCACATGCATCAGTGTCAATATGTGACCAGAACATGAACGAAGGCTGCAGGATTTCCACACTGCAGTAATTATGTCAGCTACGTGAGTCCATTCAAAGATAGAAGAAAAAAACCACCACCAACAGCAGAGTGTGATTTCCTAAATGTAATTCCTTTCTTCATATAAAAATCTAACATCAGCTTCGTATTTTTGAGAAGAAGAATGTTAGACTTTAGTATTACTGCCGACGTCCAAAGACTATTAGATTTATTTAATTCATGTTGGTTACAGGCTTCTACGGTGCCAAACCTCTGAACCCTCTGATCAACCAGAACACTTCAAAACATTGTCAAGGTTATTTTGGTCAGCATGTGGCTCAGTGGTTAAAGGATCAGGTCTGAAGTAGGAGGACTAATATTCTTCTCCTTCTGCACTTTCTTTTTCCTCTTCTCCTCTATGCAGATGATGTTATCTTTAAGATTCACTGTTTATATATATAACAGATAATAAAAAGTACTGCGGGGGTAGCAATAGTAACAGGCACGTCAAAAACTACATAAAAATTATAAAAATAGATTGAATACATTAGTTAATTTAAAGAAAATGCGGTTGGTAATTCATTAAAATCCAAGTGGTACTTGAACAAAAAACAACAAAAAAAAAAACTCTGGCAGGACTCTGGTTGAAAAAATAGGGAATTGAACCTTTGTTTGAAACAGTGGCTCTGCTGTAGTATTTACTGAAAAAAAGTCTTCAAAGTGCATTTCCCAAAGATTCACATTCCAACACTTGTGTGCAGGGTTCTACCCTGTGTAATGTTCCTTTGGTCTTTAAGGCCACACAGTAGTGTGACACCACAGATACTGAGGACGGGTGAGGAGAGCGCAGCTCACCATTTCCCCCAGCTGCTTAAAAACAAGAACTCCTTTCATATGGAGATGCTGCTAAATTACAGCGAGGAAGGCGCCTCGTTACGACACTTCAACAACAACAACAACAACAACAACAACAACAACAACAACAACAACAGCAACAACATCAGCACGTGTAACACCGTTCCTCACTTCTACACAGATGCTGATTTGTTTCAGCATTAAGGTGAAGCAGCAACAGCACACGTACACTACGTACTGTAACCTGAAAAGAAAAATGAAACGGGATCTGACATAAATGAGGTACTGATTTTCCAGACTATAAGTCGCACTTTTTTCATCCTTTGGCTTGGTTTGCGACTGATGCGACTTATATATAAGTATATAAATTATATAAAATATATAATTTCACATTTTCACACTGACAGCCGCTAGAGGGCACTCTAGGCTTGTGTACTAGTATCTGCTACTCCACTGAAAATGTACGTTATTTTATAACGTTAAGTTCGTTATTTTCACACTGACAGCCACTATACTCTGGAGCGACTTATAGTCTGGAAAATGCAGTATTTTTCCAGTAAGTACTGACAGAAGGTGGCTTCAAAAGTCAAGTAAATTTATCATGATTGATCTCACATTAATCAGGTTAACTTGACCTGTCTGATATAAAATATCTAAGTATTTTAAAAAAAATCTTTACAGTTAAAATGAAACCTGAAGTGATTGAACTTTCCTTCTCTCGTCATGTAAACGCCACATATTGCTTGTAATTCCTGTCTCATACAGTGAAGGCAGCCATCACTTCTCCAACATCCATCATCTCATCCCAGCTGTCACCAACTGTGATCAGGCTGCCCCTGCAAATAGGAGCCACACCTTCCCTGCACATCTCTCCCCTCCCCATCCCCCACCACTTTTTTCCATAAACAGTGACGATGCCTCTGAGATTTCTGCCAGTGATGCCACCAATAATCACCATCAGTCAGGAGGAGGCCGTCACCTGAGCCAGGTAATGAGCCGGAACAACCCCGGTCCCACCGGACCGGACCACAGGTGAAATCCGAAACGATAAGAGAAGACTGGGGCGGGGGGTGACGAGGGGTGGGGGAGGAGAACAAAAGATGGCCTTCAGAAATTAGAGGTTAACGAGATGAGATTGCACCAACCTTTGCTAATGCCGGTTGGAGGTGTGTGGGGGGAAATGGATTGATGGTTAAAAAAATAAAAAAGGTGAGCAGCTGTTACAAGGAGAAAAATAATGACAGGGCTGCCTTTTTTTTTTTTTTTTTTGGCTAAAAGTTTAACGCCTTTGTGGTTTTTATGGTTTTTATCCATAATCTATAAAAAGGGACATTTTGCAGGTATATTATACCTGTAGTCAATACCAAATATATCCCCAATATTTTCCCAAAGAAGCATGAACACAATTAGATTGTGTATTTTCCATTTCTAAATAATCCCCCAAAATGTTTTTCCGAGGCCTGTTCCTTCAAATGTTGGTTTCAAGCAGTGGTTCTTAATTATTTTCTGTCATGGCCCCGCCTTGTGGACAGAAATGTTTTCACTCCCCCAAAACCCACAAGCCCACAAATTGAAATATTATTGCGAACCTGATGTACATCAGGTATAATGAAGTACATGTACATTTTTATCTGTACACACCACTGTACGAGTTGCTGCCACCTAGTGACTGGAGGCTTGTTATCGTTCAAGCATTACAGCAGTGCAAATTCTGAGCCCTGTTCTCTAAGATATCAGGCTCTGTCAGTATTCAAGAAAAAAAAAACTTCAACTCTACATTTAGAATTCATACACAGACAGGTTCTTCTTAAAGAAAGTGTTGGTTTTCATCACGACGCACCCTGAAATTGTGTCTTTCTGCGGTCACTTGATGTGTTTCAAATGTCAGCGAGGTTGTGGCAGTTCCCAGAAAAAGACTTTTTTTTTTCACTCCACCTCACATGTTTGCACTTACGCAACTGTCTGAAGCAGAGAAGAAAGAGAATAGTCTAATAATTCAATCAAGACCAGAGTTTGAGGAGCAGAACTCTGTTATTTGACAGTCTCTCTCTCAGATTTTCCCAGTAACGATGGGAATTATTTATCCAACATCCACAGCCGGCAGTTTATACCACATATTTTTTTTATATTGACCAGCCACGGCAAATACTACAGATATTAAAAAAAAACAATGTAGTCGAAACATATTAGAGAAAGGAAAGTTCAAATATAACAAAGACAAAACAGAGCAAACAAATGTGAGTGGACGTCTTTAATATCATCTGTGCTGAGATCCTCCTGCTGCCAACGCACGTTAACAACACAATCCTAATGTCACTTTTTAAATTGGGAGATCAGTCGCTGTTTTTATGAGTTTCCACAGCTGTGCTACGCTGGGAGTTTGTTTCTTACTGGCGATGAGCCCGATCCCTTTAAGCAGTTTCCTTGTAGATAAAACAGAGCCTATCGACTGCTTGACATCAGGTTACACTGCACAGTCCGACTCACTGAACTGCAACCCAGCGTGTATATTTTAGGATCGATTTATTTTTTTTAAAGCAAAAGTACTGCCACTATAAACACACACGAGCGCACAAACACTATGGATTCAGCTTAGAGCTTCTGATATTATTTTGGATTAATGTGGATTTGGACACTGGTTGGGTCTGTGTTGATTTATCTACATTATTCTACAGTCTGCTGTTTGTGTATTTAGAGAGAAATGGTGGCGGTATCCCACAATTCAATGTATGATTACAATAACTGTTTTATGTTCAAGGCTAGTAGGCATTTGCTTCTAATCTATACTTCACAGGTTTAAAAAAAGCAGTATTTATTATAATTATTATTGATTTCACTCACAGATATTAGCCTTGCCGTTTTCAGATGTTAAACTTAGTTTTCAAATTGTAATTTCAATTGCACATATTTTCCTCGTGTCCTTCGTTTCAAATTAATAGCGATGTGGTCAGGCGTCATGAATATGCAGCACTGGTGGTTGAGTTGACACAAAAGGATGACTGTGATGTTTCCCGCTGTTTTATTTTCGCAGCAGAGAAGCACTTTATCAAAGTGTCCCTGCGTTTCCCGCAGACCCAGAGGGCTGCAAAACAACACTTAATATAGAAGCTACATCATAACTGCATATCAATGCAGCGTTCAGCAGCAGCAGCAGCAGCAGCAGCAGCAGCCCATCTGCAATTCTACCGCTGTATTTGCCAATGATCGATGAAAATAAACAAATAAATAAATAATTGGACAATTTGATTTGCTTAAAGCATGTGAACACCTTCTCCAGCCTGAGAACGTTGGCCTTTTCACTGTGAGCTTGTCCATTTTTATGACAGCTGAAAAAGAGCAAATGCGATTGGATTTTTATTTGTTACCTCAGAGAATGCAAAGGAAACTGAGTGTTTTTTTTTCCCTGCTTGTGTCATTTTTACACTCCTACAGTGAAGACAAATGCACATGTCACATGACTCTGTACTGCAGTGTAATGATGATGCAGCACACAGGTGGTTTGCTGCTCACCACCTACTCTGTCTGGGTGCAGCCGACACACACTCTCTCGCTCTAGACACTTAATGAATATTCCATCTCATTTCAGCATCAAGTGGACACGGGACAAAGGAGACGGACCGTCTGAGACCTGGTTTAGACCTCGTATTAACACCGGTCCTGAGGGACTGTAGTGTTAAAGGACGACTTTGTGGACTCGCTGCTAGGACGGACCAACGGATCATCGGACCATCAGACCTCACATCTGCAGGCTGCGTGCACACATATATTGACAGAGCAGAAATTGGTTTCAAGTCGACTCCACAGACGTGCTCTGTCAATGTGTTTGTGTGAGTCAGTGTGGGTGAGACTGTGGGTGAGTTACTGATAGTGAGGGAGGAATAAATTCAGAGAAAACATATGGAAACAGCAGCTAAAAGTGAGCCGTGTGTGAGCCATATCTGTTTCTGACGACAGGGCCAACAAAACAAATCAGATTTCTTAGATTCCACTCCAGGTCACTATCACATTTGAGCCTGTGTTAAAGAAGTATCGAATGTTTTTCACAGAGACCTCAGTCTGAACGGTCATGTAGCATTTCCCAAGTTTTCATCATTGAAGTGAGACAGACACAGTCACAGTCGTTGTGCCTAGGCATGCAGCCAGCTCGCATATACAGTACATACACTGATACATATTTATACACATATATATTTATTTATATGTATTCATATATATATATATATATATATATATATATATATATATATATATATATATATATATATATATATATATATATATATATATATATATATATATATATATATATATATATATATATATACATATATACATATATTCATATATAAATATATACATATACATAAATACATATATTCATATATATATACATATACATACTGTATATTTACGTTTTTTCTGGTTGTCAATACCAAGGACAGTAGCCAATCTACCAATTTAGCCTGATAGAAATGCACTCTAGCTGTAGTCAGGACAAACACTGCTGCGTATAAATTATTGAGGTCACTGTTCTTTGTTGTCTCTGGTTTGAATTCCACTATTGAATCTCACCATTTCAAGATTGTCTCCAAAGAAAAGGTGGCAGGAGGCACAGGCTCCGTTCAAGTCTCTTTAAAGCACACAAACCATCTGAGGCAGCCTCGGGTCATCATTTCCCCCCGTGCACATACACTTAGACTAGCAGCAATCATCAGACTGTCAACCAACAATGAGGATGTTTTTACCGGTGTGTAGCTGTGGACGTTGCTGCCACTGCTGACGGCGGTGTTCAGGTTGTTGAGGTTGACGGACGCCAAACTCTGCTCTGACAGACTGTTGCTCAGGCTGCCGCCCAGACTCCCTGGACTCTCACTGCCTTCTGCTTCAGGGCTGTACAGCGTTACCTGCATCACACACACACAAAGCACACACATTGACTAAAAATGACGATGAAGGTAGAATATTCATGGCTTTACATTTTACACCGAGTCATAGCTAGTTTGAATTATTTAGTTTAAATCCATGCAGCTTTTACTAATGAGACAATCCAGGAGGAAATGAGAACATGAACGTCACCGACGCCCTTTCCCTTAAACTCGGTGATTTGGATGAAGTGTCCTGACCTGAAGCTCGTTGAGACACAAATGACCTTATTACCGCCACTGATGACACAAGTTTCACTTCAGAGGAAGTGTGCATGTGCATACTGTCTGGTGGCTACAGAAGAAAAAAAGCCTTTAAAAGCAGCGCCTCAGGTCTGTGTTAAATCACATTTCTCTTGTTTTGTTTGACTGTCAGAACTTGTGCAGCAGAGCGCCGCCACTTCCTCCAGGCTACATTTAACTGTATAGACATATTTGAAAAATACAGCCTGGAGTGAGAGACGTCAGGGAAATCTCACCGGGCCAGTTTTCAAGCCTGTAGAACATCGTGTCTTTTTTAATGTTAATTCTTAACATTTCATTTAGTGATTGATCTTTGGTGAGGGAAAATGGCAGCGCTCTCCCTGCTGTGCCACTCTACTAACAAGAACACTGTGGGCTGTAAGAGAATATTTAATTCATAATGGCATCTATGTTTAAGAAAAGAGAAGGAAGACGTTACTGGAGTAAGGGTACGTGTAAAAACCAGCAAACTGTTTGGTTATTACCAAGGCTCGAACCAGTGACCTTCTGACTGTAAGGCAAGAGCATTAACCATTCTTCGGTATGTGGTTGATATTTCTATATATTTTTCATATTTTTAAACTTCAATAGTCCTACATTGACTTCAACCCTTTGTAAACATCTAAGCGCGGTGATAAATCTGAAACATGAATCAAGAGCAGAGCTGAAAACGTGCAGACCTTCTAATGACATCCAGACCAAACACTCTGAGTTATGAGAGCTCCTGTGGGACAAACTTTCTCTTTGGTCTGGGTCAGACGTGGAGGTCATGTACCACACATCATCTTAGTCTCTGTGTGTGTGTGTGTGTGTGTGTCATCTGTGGGACGTCAGAGGTCCCGGCAGCTGCTTGATCTCATGCAGGGAGTGACACTCACGATGACCTTTCGGAGGTTTCTGAACGCCTGTGTCTGTGTTGGGTTCATCGCATCAATGTTTGTAAGAGAGTTGGTGTAAAACACAGCTTTCTATGGTAACAGTTGGTTTGAGGTGTTCATTGTATTCATGGGACAGACGAACGAACTGGACGATCACCTCGATGGCAACAGTCAACTCCTACAAAGCCTTACAGAAGGCTCCTATATTTAACTTTAGTTATTTATCAACAATCAACAATTGTAAATATTACCGTCATTTACCTGACAATATTGATAATAATAATAATAGTAATAACATTTGGTGCAGTACCTTGTTGGTGACAGCATTGATGGCCAGAGTGGGAGACGCTCCTCCAGACATGATGCAGTCCATTCTCAGGGACTCTGACTCCAGGTTGTACGGAGTAGACGCCTAGAACAGACAGGTACACAGTTAAAAAAAAAAAAAAAAAAAAAACGTATTGTGAAGGGGGAAAAAAAATAACACCAGAAAATAACTGGTATTCAGTTTTGAAACATTTCTTTTTTGTTAGCCTACATTTAAATTCTGCAGTATAACTTTTCCTTTTCAGTTTATTTTTATTTGTATTCTTTGAGGAAGCCTTTATGGATTAGTCGTGTAACTTTTCAGTGCGAAGCAGCAGTGTTCAGTTGCCACGAGTGTAGATGCTGCCCTCTTGTGGCCAGAGATGAAATGGGATATGTTTTGCTATATAAGTCTCAGGGCCTGCCAAATAAAAACAAATAATTGTATCTTAATGTAATCTGAAAAATACAGTAATTAAAATACAACAATTAATTATATATGTATTTTGTTTTTCAAAATGGTTAAGAGGCAGATAAAAGAATTTGTTTAAAAAAAACCAAAACATTTTTTTCTTCCCAGCCATCACCAACCATAGTTATTGTGATGACTCTTCCATCCATTCACTGGAATAATGGTGGCTGAATTCAATTTCTCTGTTTCATATTATCTCCCTGTCACAGTGTCAGACATCCAGACACACTTGGACAGAACAGTGCCACAGTGGACACAGTAACACCTTCCGAACCTGACTTTTTTTATTACACCTTGAGGTCGACGGCTTATATTCTGTGTCAACCAAGCGTGAAATTTCATTATATTTTTTTCCACGCAGCAAAGTCGACATAAATCTATAGGATGTTTCTACTGAGTAAAGTCCTGGAATTATTTAGGGAACAATAATAGGACACATCAATCATTTAATAATAACTTCCTTCATTATCCTGAAAATTATTTGGAAGGATGTTTACGCCAAAAAAGTTTTCGCCCTCTTCACAGACACAGGTATTAACCTGAGCTCATTGGAATGCACCGCTGAGGAGTCGCTGTGATGTCACGGAAAAGCGCGTCCTCATTAACATGCAAATGTATGCAGATGGAGGCTGTGATGTGTAATCAGACCATCGACACTGTACCAGGTTCATGCAGTGCAAAAAAAAAAATAAAAACAATTTTAAAATAAATAAATAGACGTACTGAGATAGTAGGAGTCATTTTACAGACATGGATACACGCTGTGTACCCACTGTACTGTAGTATCAAACATTTTGTTCTATATTTATACTTTTATGAATAATAATCTGACCAATGATCAAATTTGATCAGTTTGACCTCCGTATTTGGTTTTGTGAAATAATTACCTGCCGTCCGCACTTTCGCAGCTGCTAATAAAGTATGTTTGTGGACGAGACGGTGACTTCAAAAACATGGATTTATTTGGTCCTGAACCGCAGCTTGAGAACTGTCTTTAATAGACCGCTGGTTATAAATCTATTATGCATTCTTTTCCACAGTTCCTAGTTCCTAGTTAATCAGGATCAGTGCACTTCTATCCCAGGCAATGGGATTAAAACTGAAGACAATAATGACAATCACCAAGAAGTGGCCCTTAATCACCGGATGTGGGATTTAATGGACACACGGAGTTTTATTGAATTTTATTTCTGCAGCAGTAAAATCAGAATGGGGCATAAATAGGATTTAACGGGAGCCGTTAAGTGGCTCCTATTAATTAATATGCAAACGTATTTCAAATGCATCCTCCATCGACGGAATATGCTGGAGAGCAGTAAAAAAAAAAAAAAACAGGAAGGCAATGAAATATGACATATGTTGGGAGATTTTTTTTGTTGTTGTTGTTCCTGCACACTGCAAGTTCATGATTCCACTCTGAGCCTCGGGCTGCGGCCCAGTGAAACAGCGGAGCCGTGCTTCATTTCAATAGCCGGACACTTAAACAGCCTTGAACGTGGACACATCGCTTTCTCTTGATAAGATAAATCAAGCCGTCCTCATGCATTATTCACATATCTAGAATGAATGCACACATAGTGTTGCTGAAGTAGAGGATAGAAGTGGAGAGGAGGATAAGAGGGAACTATTCAAAGATTGATGAGAGGCTAAATTGACGCTCAGGATAGGGGAAAAAAAAAATAGGGAAAATGAGGACAATATTTCTTTCTCCCCTCCCGTCTGACTCCTTCAGGGTTAAAGACAGCCTCCCAAACTGCTTACAGTTAAGAGGATTGGTTGGCAGCAATGCAATCTTTAATTTATGATAAACTCCTAACGGGCGAAACGGGTTGTCTGTTCCCCGGTGGAGGCACTTAAAAAGAAGGCGATGGAGAGGTGAAGAGAGGAGCGAGAGAAGGCTTTTGTGAGACGGAGGAAGAAAAGGGAGAATCAGCGGTGGGATAATTGAGTGGTGACAGACGGACAAACAAGACAAGGAGAGATGAATACAAGAAATGAAAGGGAGTGATTATGGCAGCGGCGGAGGAGAAACAGGTATTAGGAATAAGTGTACTCTGCCTGTCGACACATTTACACAATGCACTTATGCAGAGAATGTTGGAGCCTCACTGTCGACCTCTAATATTTCCATTTGCACGCATGCTGTCATCAGGAGACTTCGAACTTTGACTGTGCATCTTAAGTGCAACAAAACCCAGATGAAAACAGCACGGCGTCTAACCAACAACGCTGATCATCTCAAACCCTCCCTGTTTCTCCTTAGTTCCTCTGTGACAGCCCACGGTGTGTCTGCCAGCAGTGCAAGTGAGGCATAAAAAAAGGGGTCGAAGGGCTCATCCACGTAAGAAGAGATGACAAGCCTCTGAATTAATTAATGTTTGTAATAAAAAAAAAAAGTCGTCGGTGAAGAAAATATGTCTAATGGCAGCCGCGGGGCCTTCACTGGTAATTAAATGGAACACAAGCCTTAGAATACGCTCCCTCCTCCACCACCTCCTCATCAACCTCCTCCCCCTCATCTTACTTTTTCTCTTCCCCCCCGTTGCAGCTCGACTCTGTCCTCTCTACCTTGATGTCTTCTTTTTTTTTTTTTTACCCCCATGCATCCAATATCTTACACCCCCCTCCCTTACTCGCTTCTTCCTCCCGGTTTTGCTTCAATTTTTCCTCCAATGAGCAACTGTGATTGTGCACTTTGCCACTCCATGCTTCCCTGCTTCCCTGCCTGCCTGCCTGCGTTCCCAGGAGAGGAGAAGGCTACAGCGGCGGCGGTACAGGCAGAGGCAGAGGAAAGAGCCGCAGACAAACACACACAAACAGCAAGATAATGATCAGGATGCACAAGCAGACAGCGACAGGAACACAGTATGAAAAAAAAACAGAAGGAAGATGAAGACAGAGTGTGTGCTAGCACCGTGATGAAAATCTCCTGATTTTCCTGATAATCAGCCCACTGCACCAGATGATTTTTTACTAATTGGTTTCTTAACCTTGACTGAAGGAAGTGTTGTCATTCTGCCCCGAAGACTGAGGAAAAACCGGTGTTAGATAACGGTGTTTCTTTGACCTTTCCGAGACCTTTGCTGAAGAATTTGCATCGCATTCTTTTCAGCGTTGGCATCTTCAATCTTCTTTTGTCGACAGACAGACAGACAGAGAATTACCAAGGAAATTATGATAATACGTCCTACCAACCTTCTCATACCCAGTCCTGTCTTTGCTTGGCTGCCTGTTTCTTCGACCATTTCTACAACGTCAGAATTTGTTCTTTTAATTGTTTACTGGATTCTGGAGAATCAGCCTCATTTCTACTGCTCCTAACTGCTAATTGGTTGTTGGCTGTGCTGCGTGGGTTTTTTTTTTAATCGGTCTCCAGTCACAACAAAGGGCTTCACAATGAGTCACATTATTTTTTAAAAAAGCGATTTGCAATTTTTCTTAAATGCTTATTTTTTTAAATATTTTAATAGATTAAATAAAATAGACGTTCTGTCATTAATTGTCATTAAATGTAAATTCAACGTTGCAATGATCAGAAATAACTGGTTTTATTAACTCCACCTTGTGGAAGAGATTGAAATGAACATCAGTTCAGGATAGAAGTCAGTTCCTTTTTTCCGTGTGGCAGTTTGTTTCTACTCTGGTCAATGTGAGCGCTGCAGCAGTCTTAGCCCCGCCCCCAAAATACTCTAATTGGTTACAATGCACAAAGGCACCAGTGCCAAGCCAGTACGGATCAACATAAGTAAAAAAAAAAAAAAAAACTTTGCTGGGTCTACTCACTCTTTCTCCAGACCGCGGCCTCTTCTTCGGCCTGCTGGGCGTGGCATCTTCTTTAGGATTGGTGTCTATGGCCCAGTAGGAACCCTGTGGAGTGACCCAACACATGTACACTGTGAAGTATTCTTCTTAGCAAAAGACCTGTGTGTACTTGTGTAGTAAGTTTTGATAGACTTAGTAAGAGACTTTTATTTTATATTTTTTAAAACCTGCTATAATTAGTTAATTAATGAGAATTTCTAAACATGTCAGTAAAGCTAAAGGTTCAGTTCAAGGTTCAGAGGCAGCAGATCCAAATGCTAAATAGCCCTACTGTCAAATAGTACCATATTAGTACCGTGTCTTTAATTACCCATTAATTTATGTTTTCATCCATCACTGTCAGGGTTGCATTGAAAAACAGTTACATCTATCTTTCAAACATGGCCACGCGTTTCAAATGTGAAAAAAAAAAACAACAACAAAAATCAATCCATCCTCCCATTGTGGTTGGTATTCGGCCTTGTGTCTTGTCTGCCGGGGAAGGAGGACGTTTCCCTCCTCCTCATAGAACAATGTCATTGAAGAGAAAAAGTGCAGTTGATGGATCTCCCTTGTTTCCAACAGAACCGACGGATCCGTTGTTAGTCCTGCTCTGTAGCAAATCAGTTTGCTGTGGGTTTAGACGTACCGTGATGCGGGCGGCTGCTTCTCTTACCAAGAAAATCCACTGAAATCCTTTTGTAGCACAGTGTTAAAATGCAGCTGCCTCCAAAATGAAAACACACAGGGCAGCAGAGGAGGAAATCAATTGCTTTTAGGTCCTTGATTTCCTCCTGGTCTGATTTTTTTCCCCTCTCCCTCTCTCTTCTTTTCATTTTTCCCCTCCGAAGCCTCAGACTGAATTCAGGAGTTTCATTTAGGCCACACCGCCCCCTCCCCCCCGCCCTTATTCCCCCCATCTCTCAGTCCCACATCACTGAGCAGTACACAGCCAATTAACGTGAGCACATGCATGATTTAGCTCTGCTTCTCTCTGCTCCTCTCTGAGGCATCAAATAGAGTATGAACATCAACTATCATCTCACACACACAAACACGCGCAACCCAGATATTGAGCGCTTCGATCCGCGGCCTGACTTAAGGTGCTGGTCAGGTCCAAGTCGGTCTAATCAGGGTGTAGCCCACACTCTTCTTTTTTGTCTTTTCAGACCACGGGCCTCGACTCAGAGCCAAAGATTTACTATTGAATTATTTAAACTTTCTGACCCTAATCCATTTTTCAAAAGCTTCAAAGTCTCCAGAGCAGGGAGGCCCTTCCCCGTCCAGAACAGAAGGAGCAGATGATGAGCCAAAATACAGACGTTGATGCTTTTATTAAAGAAATCATGTAAGGAGAGGCTTTTTTTTCTGACCAGCTCTAATTATACACCCTTCCCTGTGGGAGCATTTGAGTTGATTCTGCACAAACAAGGACCTGACAAATGGTTGTTACCAGACTCTGAGTGGTGGAAATGCTACAGTTACTGTGACTCCTCCAACCACAGAAGTTGATGTTGTGACTGATGTCTAAAACTTCTCTCTCTCTCTCTGTGTGTGTGTGTGTGTGTGTGTGGCAGTACAGCAGTGAAAGTCTTTTTTTTTTTTTTTACAGAACATATTATTCTTTACTGCCTACTGACCAAATCAAAGTGTCAGAAAAGACAAGAAGCGGCGTAACGCATCGAGCAGAGCAGGTTCTACAGTCAAGTGCAGGCCCTCGTGCATGTGCGTGCATTAATGCACAAATATCTTCACACATTTGGCACCGGAGCAAAACGTCTAAGAGGGGCCGCGTCAAATACCTCCAACCATTTATGTCGAGCTTAAACACATTGTTGGGGATATATTTACCTTCCCAGGGTCATCCTTGGAGCGAGGCACTTTGAGAAAGCACTTGTTCAAGGACAGGTTGTGTCGTATAGAATTCTGCAGAGAGAGAGAGGGGGGGAGAGAGAGAGAAGGATGGGCGAGGAGTGAAAGGATGGAGAAGAAAAGACAGGAGAGAAAAGAGGAACCAGGTCAAAAACCTTAAGAGTACATCCATTAAATTCACATTCACAAATTGGTTGATTACGTTAAGGCTCACTTTACTTGAGCGATTCCGGCCGCAGACTGGAGTGTTAAGTGGAAAACACACTTTGTTTCGCCTTTTTACAAAAGACAAAATGTTCAAGTCAAGTAGATAAAGAAGGAGAAACATTTTATAGAAGCTAAATCTATTTACAATGTTTATGAATGTGTGAATAAAGACACACAGATATAAATAAATATAGTACGGCAATGTTCTCTCCATGTCACTATATAACACATAAAAAACAAAAATTGAAATTTTCAAAAAAAAAAAAAAAAAAATACTATGCAAAATAAACAAAACATGCTAAAACATGTACTCGTCCAGTGACCCACTGCCCAACCAACTGCGCTCAGGTCAGTCAGCGTGGTGTGTTTTCCTACTGTTCAGTTCAGTGTGTAACTGCCCTCATGGGTAGATTATTAAAGTAGATCAGCAACGTCAGCGGTTCGGAGGTATTTTAACACCAGGGACAAAGACCGGAGCAAGACTTCCTGTAAGATTTGTTACGAGACGAACAGCTGAAGACACGCCTCAGCACTGGATACACTAATGTTGACAACGACACAGTGGAAACATGAGATTTTTCCTTTATAATGTCCGTTTTTGTTGAGAGTAATTCGTCAACATTGTGCGTCTTCATTTGTTTATCAAAAAATGCAAATACAGTTTCAGTGAACCTTTATTGACTGGACAGCAGGAGGCGGTGTCATCAATTGAAATGCACAAGTTGTGAAAAGCTCTGCTCACTTTCTGTTCAGTCGGCTGAATTCACCGGCTCCTGTTTGGAAAAGTAAAGCTTCAGATACAGAGAAATAAAAATAGAAATCCCAGAAGTCTTTTTTTAAAAGACAATAACAATGTGTTTTATCCATAAAGAATCAGTGAACACGTCATGACTCCGTCCTTTGACGTCCTATAGTTCTGCTGCAGATGCTGGTGATGTTTGTTTGGTTGGTTTGTTGGTGCTCTGTGCAGCCTCTGCTGCAGCCTTTCCAACATCTCTAACTACTGCAGCTCTGGACCAGTGTGCCCACCATCGCTGAAGGTTCCTGAAATTCTTTACCTTTTGGTTTTAGCAAAGATAAAATGAGTAAATCTCTGTTCTCAATTAGAACTGAAGAAATGTGGTTTGTGTTGAGAGAGCGCCGGCGGTGGATCGTCCCTGCCTCTCCGACTGTGAGTCGACTTTTCAAATTAATGCAAAAATACATATAATAATTGAATAGGAAGTAAACTTGAAACTTGGGTGGTACATCGGGATTTATTAATGCTCCAGTATTTCTGAAAAAACTCCATAACAAATTCAGTTCTGGCCATAATGAGGGCAAGCTGACATTTCCACGACTTATATCACCTCCTGTAGTTGCAGTTTGTGAGCGAGAGAAAGAGAGAGAAAGAGAGAAAGAGAGAAAGAGAGAGAGAGAGAGAGGGAGGGAGAGAGAGAGAGAGAGAAACAGAGATAGAGAGAGCATCACGTTGGCTAACCTGACATGAACCTGTTATCCTTCAGGCTCCCGGTCTCTGCTCATCTGCTGCTGTTAATTAATACCACTGGGGAGGACGAGGAGGAGGAAGAAGAAGAGGAGGACGAGGAGGCGGAGGAAAAAAAAAAAGACAGAGGGCTGGTTGAAAATTCTCCAGCCCTTCCCCTGTTTCTCCTACAACAAGCACCTCCTGTCCCTCTCTCTGTCTCCGCGTCTCCGTGTCTCTCACAAACCCCAACAGCCTGCTGCACCTCTGTCTCACCCTGCTCCTCCTGAAGAGGAGCAGTGGCAGTCGGCTGCTGCTGCTCCACTTACCGGGTCACTGGCTGTTTGGGGCCGTCTATCAAAGTAACGTATGACAGCGCTGTGATGAAAAAGCCAAGGAGGACTGCCACAAGCTTGGCACACTAAGGCAACCATCTGTTCCAAAAAACTTTCCTGTGGGAGGTGACGGAGGATCATTAACACCGAGTCTGTCTGACTCAGAAGCTCACTTGACAGTTTGTTTATTTACATGCTATTGTTTTATTAAACAAGCCGCTCGCTATTTATGATATTGGCAAGACCTCACAATATTTCTGCCTCTGCGCAGAGTCTCAAACGGTCAACTTTCAGTCGAGCTTCTTCTTCACGATGCCCTTGAATGTTACAAGTACAGAAGTTTACAATGTATTTCTTCCACGGTTGTTTTTTGCCGCAGTGGACGACTTCAACAGTGTCCCTCTAGTGTATAGATGCGGAATAAAGTATTATTTCTAGTATTATTTTTTTGTACCGGGGGACCTGGAGTAAGTCTCTTTAATTTGATAAACTACGGCCTTAAACTTTCTGCAAATACATACAGTAGCTGCTTATTCGGCAGAACCTCCAAAAATAGTACAAAATTACATAACGTGTAATAAGTGGCTCACAGGCCTAACACAGATGTATATAATGCTGAGCTCGTTTATTCTTGTCTTAGTTGGCCCACGTGTTTGTTGTTTATGCGTACGTTGTTTTCTGCTGTTGTACTTTGCGATCTGGTCGTGGTAAACATTGATATTACTCATGCACAAGTAAATACAGTAAAAGTCCACAGGAAACTGGCTTTGAGGATGTGTATAATTATAAGTGGGCTTTGATATCAATTTAACATCCTGATGGATACGGCAGCCCCAGTGTCTGGAATATTTTAGTTTTAATGAAAGGGTTGGAAAAAGTGAAATATGAATTGTTTAGATACGCAACGCACTTGAAGCTCTATTTATCTCAACTCATAAAATTAAAAAAAATACACATGACAAATTTATAAATTGATGTCCAAAAACACCAAAGAAGTTGCATTTGAGTCAAAGTCTTTTGACACAGTCATTAAATAACATTGTGGTTCAGAAGGATCACCTTCACAGGTTGGTGTGATTGATTTGTTTTGTGAAATCCATCAGATCAAAGTGTCGAACACATTTTAATGCATTGGCAGAATTAGGAGCTGAATATATCCGTTAAATAGACTAGTCCATTATAACAGTTTATATTATAGCAAATACATTTCCTGAAGTTAACTCCAGAGGGATTAATAAAGTGCTATCCATCCATCCATTTCATAAATCAGCTCTAACTAGTGAACTAACAGGCTCACTAAGAGAGAAAACAGAATAGTTTATTTTTGAGATTAGTTTAAAAACCAGGAAGAAGTAATGAATAATACTTTTACCCACTAGAACACTGCAAGGACACACGTGTCCTAGGTTCCATACACAAGTGCGTGTTTGTGTGTGTGTGTGTGAGGGAGGGAGAGAGAGAGAGAGAGAGGGAGAGACACAGATGGAGTCTTTGTGTGTGAATAGCTTCTACCTGAGCAGCAGGCCATCATTTACCCAGACAGCACATATTGTTCAGACAGACACAAAGGTGCACATGCTCTCCTCTCCTTCATGTTATGGAAACAGTAATCTCCTCTTACTGAATGAGAATGGTCATCATCAATAAATGTACTGATTAGCCGTGTTGTGAAGTAGGATAATGAGATTCACTGCTCTGTCCTCCTTCCACCCACTCCTCTCCCTGTCTGATTAATGAGCTTATCGGGCAGAGTGGGGGCCATGCCACTCCTGCCCAGCAGCTAATAGATCACACAGTCTCACGCGCACACACACAACACACACAAGGTAGGTGTGTGTGTGTGTGATTTTGTGAATGTAGTACAAACGCTTAAAAAAACATGGTGCAAAAATAAAAACTAGGACTGAAACTCTGACATTTTCATTTCAATTAATTTATTACACAAGAAATAATGTGTTCAATATATGACGCAAATATAACGCCAATTTTAGATTCCTAATTGCAAGATGCATTCATAGACGTCAGTGATGGAAGACGAGACCGCGTTTCTAACTTCCGGCTGGCAGCTGGGACAAGAACACATCAGTGTTCAAATTAGGAGTTTTCTTTTCACTGCAGCACTTCAGGACAACAGTATCACCTCAATACATCGTTAGCTACCACTGTCCCATGACAGGCTAACGGTGCAGCCAGCCCACATGGATAGGATGACAGGATTTAGAGTGAAATTAGTCTTAACACGTTTAATAAAATAATGAGTTTGTGCTAATCTGTACCTGTAGTAGACGGTTAAAAAAGTACTTATGAGTTTGGATGAAAAATTGACATTTATGTAGTTTAAATTCACTTTTGTTTCTATTTATTGATTCATTCGTCGACCAACATTAATTGGAAAAACTTAATGGGACAAACATGGCCATTTATCAAAAATGTGATTCACTGGGATAAACTAATTTCAAAGTTTTAATTAATCCAAGTTGTTTTCAATTTTATTTTTTCAAACGCATTCTACCACCATTAAAAACGTCAACAACATTCTTCTTCTTTTTTCTTCTTCTTCTTCAGACTACTGTAAATTCTCCTGCTAATAAAAGATGAAATGCAGCACAAAGGCACTTTTTAAAAGGCAGTTCAAAACAAACCTGGCACTGAAAAGAAAACCTAACTAACATAAGTGGTTTAGAAGATTTGTGTCAAATATTTGAGTCAAATAAAAAGAGGAGCGGAGAGAAGGCATTTCCCTTAGAACGGAGCAAAGGCCAGGTAAAAGAGAGAGAAAGTCTTTTCGGGTGACTGCATTTCCAGATGTAACAGTCTTACTCGAAATAATTCAGATCTGTAGTACTCCAGCAATTTCTTCGAGATGAATCACCCGATGAAAAACTGTCAGGAAATACTTGGGTATAAGCTGATACGCACGGGAAAGAAAAAAAGGAGAAAAGTCAGAAAGACATCTGTGACTCTGAAGTATCTTCATCTGTTATATAAAATAGACTTAATGTAAGAAACTATGTGTGTTTTCCTACGCTGCAGCTGCTGTGATCTGC